TCCTGTGTTGAAGAGGCCGTATTAAAGGGGCTTATGTCTCTAAAACTGTGGAAAAATGTTAATGTATACTCAGTGTCGATATAAAGATTTATTCATGGCAGGGTTAGATAGTCTGTATGATTCAGCAAAATAGGGCATTTGGTGTAACATCAACTTTATGGGCACTTGATCAACAATCGACTATCCAAACAAAGCGTTGTGTAATGTGCCAACTTACCCTTTTACAACATTGTGATTTGGGTGGTTAAGGATTTTGCTCCTTTAATACTTTTAAATTACATATTTTTCTGTTTCCAGTCACACCTGCACACACATATAAAACATAGTACTATACAGCTTTTTGTTACTGGTAATTACAGTTGACAGCTCAAGTATCCATGCACATATGCTTTCTACAATCTGTCCTGTAGCTTGACAAAAACCTGAGTACAGTGCTGTTAGTGTGGTTATGCTGCAGTTTTCTCTATTTAAGAGCTTGTCTTTTGAAATGTTTTTCAAAATTCAAGATTGCATAGTGCACACTTACCAATGTCTATACAGTAAATCACCTGAATATTAATGACGTTGGTTTTCCTGATAAGCCTATTTGACTAAATGTAACCACTAACTGAATCCATTTTTATAATGCTGACAGGTAACTTTTACCTGAGCTCCATTTAAAGGAATAGTTCACCCAATCAAAAGCACATATCTTTCCTCTTACTTGTACTATTTATCAATGTAGATTGTTTTGGTATGAGTTGCTGCTGCCTCCTCTTTAATATAATGGAGGTAGATGGCACTCAGCTTGTGGTGCTCAAAACACCAAAAAAAAAAAAAACACAGTTGAAAAACACAACAGCAATGTCTCTTTCCAGAAATCACAACTCGGTTACTCAAGATAATCCACAGACCTTGTTTGTGAGCAGTTTCATGTAGGAACCATTTTCTTTCTACCAAACCATGCCCACCAACTTAATTGTGTCACTGCACAGAAGGAAGCGCGCATCTGCTGCTCAGCCAGCACAACCAAGCTTGCCAATGTTGCAGCTCAGTCAGAAAGGACGCCATTCATTTTTTGCTGTCGCGCTGTCACAAGCATCAGCCTCTTGTCTATTAACAGATGCCCACTTCCTTCTGCACAGTGATACAGTTGGTGGGTTTAGTTTGGTAGAAAGAAAATAGTTCCTACATGAAGCTGCTCACAACAAGGTCTGTGAATTATCTTGAGTAACCAGGTCATGATTTCTATAAAGAGACATTGCTGTTGAGTTTTTTAATGTATTTTTGGTACTTTGAGCACCACGAGCCAAGTGCTATCTGGTTCCAGTATATTTTAGAGAGGACAGACATCTGTACAGCCGATATCTTCAGCACTCGGCAACTCAGACCTAAACAGTCTAGACTGATAAATAGCACTACAGGTAAGATGAAAACATGTATTTTAATTTTGTGGTGAACCGTCCCTTTAATCTCAATTTGAGAGTAACCAGCTGACAGTAAATGCTTCATTTGGAAGTTATGACTAAAGCGGGTGTGTTTATGTCACATTCCCTACAGGATAAAAAAAGAAATATGTGCGCAGGATACTGTCCTAGGAAAAAAAGTTGCTGACACAATAACACATGAATAAATGCCAGTATAAAAAGGACAAAGAACAACAGAGGACAAAGCTGAGAAAGCTCAGAGTTTGGCTTTTCAAAAGTTGCACCACCAACAGTCCACTTTGAAACATGAGATCTATTGTGAAAGTTACAGGGTGATATTTCAATATTTGGCAGATGGGAACAAAGGAGGAGGTGTTATTGGTTCTATTTACAAATCAACACCAACCTTTGCTCTTGTGTTGGGCAACATTGACTCTGTAAACATGTATGTGGGTCACACTGCAGCTTTTCTCAGTAAAATACTTGGTTAAATGCAATTTTTCAAAAGTTTTTGCCTTCTTCTCCTGATGGTAACTAAAGTGACTGTGTCATTAACTTCCTCTGCCTGAAGTACTTACAAAGATAGATAGATAGATTTTTTTTATTTTTTTATTTAACCTGACAGCATCCAATCAAGTTGCAGAAGAGAACCACAAGGAACTAACTTTACGTTACCAATCACTAGCTGGAAAAAAAATGATACCAAAGATAATTTTGTTTGCGCACAAAAACTACAGTGTCCAACAAAAATGAGATGCAGTATGCAAAACATGAGGATCAAATTTACAGATGGATACACAGCAACTTCCAAAAAACATGTTTTAACAAATGAGTGCAAATGTTTAAAAGCATTTGTGAATTCATTTCATTTCATTCATTTGTTTTTGAGGCATGGCTTTATTTAATTTAACACTGTACACTTCATATGTCTAAGGTCAAGCTCTCAATTTTTTTTCTCAGGGTTAGCCCTACCTGATAGATAGATGCAAGCAAGGATCGCAGGTTGAACAACTGAACCGTGTCCTTTTCTTGGACTTTCTGGTGTACTATCAGCGGATCTTACAAAAGCAGCATGGCCTACTCTGCCCTTCTGGCAAGCCTTAGTAGTCAAAATTGAAGAGTGCCTGTTCCCACCCCTTCGGCAGGTTGATTTGTGTACATGTCCTCAAAAGAGAACAATAAAAGTGACTAAAGGAAAGTTCTTTTATATTTCCTTTCTCTGTATAAAACACCCAATGAGATCAATCCCCATGTTGCTGTGTAACTCTATAGGGGAGCTGAATGGTGCCACAGGGAAGAATGCTTGAGACAATGTGCCCTGATAACATCAAGACACCTTTTGTTGGGTGAATGCACTGCATCATGTTTCCAGAGACATCCCTCCTGATCCAGACCTGATGAAATATTCGTTAATTTGCGTACATTTAAAAGATAATTAATCTGTTGTTAAAATGGCATTATATTTGGTGACGAGTGCATCGTGACTTTGACTCAGTCACAGCTTCATAGCACACTATGACTTGTTTAGGACTTGAAACTCCAAGGTTTGGACTTGGGACTTGAGTATAAAGACTTTAGACTTGCAAAACAATGTATCAGTCCCACCTTAGATACTGTAAAACTTAAATTAATAGCCCGGGCTATTATTTGTTTAAATCACTGAAATCATGCAACAGGCCTATATTTGGGACAGGCCTTTGATTTATTCAAAACTGTTGCTCAGCAAAGATGGGTAATACAATCAAATTGTTTAGCAAGGGAGTTCAAGTATCTCGGGGTGTTGTTCACGAGTGAGGGTAGAATGGAGCGTGAGATGGATCGGCGGGTCGGTGCGGCTTCTGCAGTGATGCGGGCGCCGGTCCAGTCCGTCGTGGTGAAGAGGGAGCTCAGCCAGAAAGCAAAGCTTTCAATTTACTGGTCCATCTACATCCCAACCCTCACCTATGGTCATGAACTCTGGGTAGTGACCGAAAGAATGAGATTCCGGATACATGCAGTGGAAATGAGTTTCCTCCGTGGAGTGGCTGGGCTCAGCCTAAGAGACAGGGTGACAGCTCAGACAAAAGGAGGGAGCTCGGAGTAGAGCCGCTGCTCCTTCATATCGAAAGGGGTCAGTTGAGGTGGTTCGGGCATCTGATCAGGATGCCTCCTGGGCGCCTCCTGTTAGAGGTGTTCCGGGCACATCCCACTGGTAGGAGGCCCCGGGGCAGACCCAGAACACACTGAAGGGATTACATATCTCGTCTGGCCTGGGAACGCCTTGGGGTCCCCCAGGAGGAGCTGGAAAGTGTTGCTGGGGAGAGGGATGTCTGGGCTGCTTTGCTTGGCCTGCTGCCCCCGCGACCCGGCCCTGGATAAGCGGATGAAAATGGATGGATGGATGTTTATTTGAACCAGTATGAATATTACTTGTATAGAATTAGGCTTATGGATCCTTATGGACTAAAGGAATATGAATAACTTTTTATGAAATGGACACATGTCCTGACTTTATTACAGCTTCAGGAGACGGGGATTCACTTTGGTTTTTTCATCATGCCAGTTAATCTGAATGAATTATGGTCTTTTCTGGTGCTCGTGGTTCCAGTAAATGAACTGAACGATGTGGAGAAGTGTGGAGAATCTAACTGAGCTAACGGTGTGTAGCATGTCCATATTGTGCGATTTTAACGGCTAACTAACATTTGCTCAAGTAGTCAGCAATCCAGTTTTATACATCCAAAGAACATCTATAAAAATAAACTGTTCGGCAACTAGACCAGGCCTCTAATTGAGACAGGCCTTTAGTTGTTAGCTAGTAAAAGGGACTGGGCATTTAATTGGGACGATAGATAGATAGATAGATAGATAGATAGATAGATAGATAGATAGATAGATGTTAGTCTCCTGTGCTACTCCAGTAATACATGAAATACTTAACATTTGATAGCCCACTTGAAGTAATTATTGCATGAAATACAGGACCTTTACTTGTAATGGAGTATTTTCTTTATATTGTTGCTACTTTTACTTCAGTATCTGAATATTTCTTCCACCATTGGTTTATGCTTTTAAGTGCAGCAGATTGGTTCTGCACAGGAAAACCACATGTATTTCGAAGTCTCAATCGCAGCAGAAATTCACTTAAACACACTGGTGTAGGCTATTTGTACTGTAGGATCAATGAACTAATGAACACTTCAATCAATGAATCAATCAGTCACCTTGTTTGTCCTCAGAGAACTTATGGATTTACAGAATAAAACACAAAGCACGTGAACACACCATACAAACAGGCCTAAGAATGTGTGAAAATCAGAGTTAAATTAGGTCTAAATAAGTCAGACTTCAGTACAAACAGGTCTATAAGAGTATTTACGGATTGACTGAGTAAATGTTTGTCCTCTCTGGCTCTGATTTCAGTCAGTTCAAACAATGGTTGAATAGTTTCAGAGGAGAGTCTGTGACTTTCCAGTATGTGGAAATGTCGGATATCTCTCTGTTTTTCCTGCCATCCCAGCACACACACACACACACACACACACACACACACACACACACACACACACTAAAGTACACGCGCGCGCACATTAGGACACCCGAGCAACTTTTTTTTTTGTCAGCCCAGTCAGGGGTTTGCTATAAAAGCCCGAGCTGCCTGCTGCACTTTCTGCTCTGCTGACCTGGAGACCCCGCCGTCCAAGATGCAGACTCTCCTCCTCGTGGCGCTGCTCGGATGCCTCGGTAAGGACATTTCATATCTTTGCACAAACATCTTTAAATCACAGATTTACTAATTACTCAGTTTATCTGCATTGTTATTTATCCATGTGCGTTTGCAGCCGCCGTGCTCGCGGCCCCTGGCACCCAGGTGAAATGGTGCGTCAAGTCGGACAAAGAGTATGAGAAATGTAGGGCCCTGGCAGGCGTAGCTCCTGCGTTCACCTGTATCAAGAGGGAGAACACCATCGACTGCATCACGGCCATTAAGGTGAGGAGAAAAACATGATAGAGCACATTGAGATGTGCTCAATAAAAAAATCACACCAAAAATATTCTTCAAAGCTCTGTCTACAGTTTAATATTTTTATCTTGTAAATCACCAGTAACATATACTTTAAGATGAAAAAGTAAAAGTATGCAGTACAGGATGGTCCCTTTCAGAGCGTTACATTAACATTTCAAGATTCAAGATTACTCTCCTTGGACATGATGGCTTTTTTTTTAATTCTTATTTATTTATTTATTTTTTTGAAGTCATATTTACATGTTTTAATTAATGCTATTATTATGGGTAAAATAATGTGTAAAAAATGTCTACTACATACATTTCAGTACTTCCATCAGTGCATCATATTCATGTTTAAATGTGCAAAATCTTAATCTGCAGTTGTCAGAAAAAAGTAGTGTAGTAATATTCCCTGGAAATACTCAAGTTAAGTCACTCAAAATGGTTCAGTACTTGAGTGCGTGTTGCTTACAGCCACTGCCACAGTATGAAAAAACTCCAAAACAATTGTAAGTCTTGCGAGTAGGCTAAGGGTTAAGAGTTTTTTGGTTTTGATGTCACCTTTAAAAAACCTCTTGAACTATTTGGATTCAGTTTTTAACTCGTGTTGATGCTCTACTTGTTAACAGTCAGCAAATGTTTTCACAAGCAATGTCAGAGCTACAATATTGATCGAAACACTTACATTTGCCCCCCACATGCAGGGGGCGATAGCACACTTGACACCTTCATCAAACATCAAGAACAACAATATAATAATAATATAATTCCAGGATTATAGATAAAGTTATAAAAATTACATATCCACTGAAAATTTGATTCAAGTTAAATAAAAACAGCATCATTTGTCATGTAATTATATAAATATAAAGACAAAATGTATGTATGTATGAGACATCAGTTTGTCCGTTGGCAGGCAGAGAGGAATCACCACAGAGCAAGTGCAGAGTTTCATGGTTCTGTTTCTTGTCTCCGGTGCAAAGGGTACACCCTGGACAGGTCACCAGACTATCACAGGGCTGACACAAAGAGACAGTCAACCATTCACACTCACATTCATACCTACGGACAATTTAGAGTCACCAGTTAACCTGCATGTCTTTGGACTGTGGGAGGAAGCCAGAGTACCCGGAGAAAACCCACGCTGACACAGGGAGAACATGCAAACTCCGCACAGAGGGGTTCCTAGCTGGTTGGTAACAATTTGTGTGTGTCTTTTTTCGTAACAGTCTGGTGAGGCTGATGCCATCACTTTGGACGGAGGGGACATCTACACTGCTGGACTGAACAACTACAACCTGCACCCCATTATTGCTGAGGACTACGGTCCCTGTATGTTTACAACCAGCTGTCTTTACTGATGAAATTACCTTAAGAAAGATGATCTCTTATAGCATTTTGTACAAGCTACATGTTTTAACTGTGCTAATGATTTGTCTGCATTCACCCAGCTTCAGAGACCTGTTACTACGCCGTTGCTGTGGTGAAGAAGGGCTCCGGATTCAAGTTCAGTGAGCTCCAGGGGAAGAAATCCTGCCACACTGGGTTGGGGAAATCTGCAGGCTGGAACATTCCCATAGGAACTCTGGTGTCCATGAATTTGCTTCCATGGTCAGGCGTTGAAGACAAACCTGTGGAGGAGGGTGAGTTAAAGCACAGTCCTCAGATAAAAGTGTCACCTCTGATCACAGTGTGGAGTGTGTGCATTAGTCTCAAAAGTTAGACAGTCAAAACAAAATTTGTACTTTGGCAGCCGCCTTTAAAGACACTCTCCTCAGTGTTTTCCTTTATTTAATTTCATACACCTGTAACATGATGTGATATCTGTCAGTTAAATATGAAGCTACAGCCAGCAGTCAGTTTGCTTAGCTTAGCATAAAGGCAGGAAACAGCTAGTGTAGCTCTGTCTAAAGGTCACCCAGCAGCACCTTTAAAGCTAAAAACAGGAAGCTTCCACACCCGACCCAGCAAAAAAACAAAACCAAAAAAAAAACAACAGTCTGGCACATAACCCTCTGTACTACAATGTGAAGTTTTACTGTGGCTACCTGAGTTATGAAATTACTGTGCAGCTCTTAAATTGCACTCTGCAGTAAGCATCATCACTGCATTACCTTCTCTTTGTCATGGAAGATTTCAAGAAGGACGCTGTTTCCATATTTTTCCATGCCTTTTTCTTGCTGGTCCCGTCTCCAGTTCTTCCTCGATTCCCTCTCTTGTTGCAGATGTATGTCACACAAATTGCGTTACATTTTCTTTACTGCGTCTTGGTCTCTAAAGACTTTTGACAGATGTGAAAACACTGAGAAAATTGCACCTGTTCCAAAAACTTCAATGACGGACAAAAGTTTCAGAGCCGGTGTGTAAACATGATTAACACAAGGTGATGTCGTTTTTATTCTGAAACATGCGATGTGTTTGGGCAAAAGACTATTCCTTCAACATAAAGGATGTTTTATAGGCGGATTTCAGTTTTTTTTATACCCGGTATAACTTGAAACAGCTTCATGTTGGAAAAGAACAGGTAACTAAATAAAGTATGAATAATATTGAGACTTTCTTTATGGAGTCTGGTCAGACTGTGTTAATGTGTGGGTGAAGGAGCTTTCTAAATCTTTGCTACGGCCCTGCTTTTTGTTTTGCAGCGGTGAGTGACTTCTTCATGGCCAGCTGTGCCCCAGGGGCAACAAAGGGCAGCAAACTGTGTCAGCTGTGCAGTGGAGACTGCTCCAGGTCCCACAACGAGCCTTACTATGACTACGGCGGCGCCTACCAGTCAGTATCAGTCTTTCTCTGATTCTTCTCACTTCTTCTATAACGCTCACTGTCCTCTATTAACCTCTACACATTTATCTTCCAAATATGACAAGCTATCACAACTCAGTCTGTAGTCCTGTGACGTTTTTATCTCATTTGATGAAAGACACTATACTACAAACCTCTAATGTTGATGCACCTGTGGATTGGTCTCCTTAACAGGTGTCTGAAGGACGGCGTTGGAGAAGTGGCTTTTGTGAAGCATCTCACTGTACCTGGTCAGTATACGATCATGTCTTCTAATATGTGTTTATTATGGACTCATAGTAATGTCAGCCAATCAGCTGATTTATATTTGTATTACGAGACTATAATATGCAGGCAATCTTAATTATTTCAATTAAAAGCCAAAATCTTTCTAGCTTTTCTAATAGTAAAATTCTATCAGATTATAAACATATATTTATGTTTTGTTTTGTTTTTTTAATTAAATTCAACATTTTCATATTGCTCAATAATGAGAAAACAAACAACAGCACTGTTTCCAGGCATCGTCACATCTATATCGCAATCACTGAATACTATGGACAGCAAGTTTTTATGTAGTTCATGATTATTACATGATTTTGGAAGCATACAGCAGAAATTTCAAGGAGGAAATAAGTTTCGAGAAGAAACCAGCTCCCATTTTATAATTAAAATTGCTAATTAACCCATTTTGGGGGCGTCGGTGGCTTAGTGGTAGAGCAGGCGTCCCATGTACAAGGCTGTTGCCGCAGTGGCCCGGGTTCGACTCCAGCCTATGACCCTTTGCTGCATGTCTCTCCCTCTCTCTCCCCTTTCACACTTCACTATTCTATCAATTAAAGGAAAAAATACCCATAAAAATATCTTTAAAAAAAAATCCATTTTGTCCACATTAAATTCAAGTTAACTATCCAGCCCGTTCTGATTCCAAAGTCGTCAATTATTGCAGCTTTTTCAGTGATTTAAGTGTCAGACACCAACAGTAAAAAGTACCTTTAATGGCACTGTGATATGACACCAGGTGGCATCAGTGTATAGGCCTAACACTGCCAGATGGCATCAGTTTGAATAATATCTCATCACCTTTGGATGACTGTAATTCTCTTTTTACCTCAATAAATTCTCCATACACTGTTGACAAACCATCCAGAATGCTGCGGCTAGGCTCTTCAAACAATCCGACAGATGGTCACATATTCAACCTATTCTAACCTGTCTGCACTGGCTTCCTTTTAATTTTAGAAATCATTTTACATTTTAGTGCTCACTGATAGGGTCCTACAATACCTGGCTCCACAGTATATTATGCATGTGAAAGGTGATATATCCTCCTGAGACCCTGTGTCCTCATATGAGGACATCACATTCTGGGTTTACCTGATCTTATGCTTCATTCTACTTAACCCGCTGTCCTCATTCATGGACACTTTTTTGTGCCATCTAGTGGTAGTAAGACCACAATACACTAATCCATGCAAAAAGAAGATGGCAGCCATCTTTGCCAAGTCAGTCTGCAGCCGACACAAAAGTGAACAAAGTCCAAAACCTGATCACATTTAATGGTAAAAACTTATTTATTTATAATTAATGTTTCATGGTTGATATGGTAACAGCAATGGTAACAAGCTAAGGCACTGTTAATTAGGAAGTACTCATTTCAAGACATTATTAATGTAATTTAAAACAATAAGGCAAAACGCACACAAAAAGCAAAAAAAAAGCATACAGACTACAAAAACCTAACTACTAAAGTGCAAACTACTTATGGTAGGGAGAAGATAGGTACGATACGTATTTAGCACTGGAAGATTGAAAGAGAAGAAGACTAACGTTGAAATCATTGTTGTGGCACACTTTCAGATGCCGATAAGGCCGACTACGAGCTGCTGTGCAAGGATGACACCAGAGCGCCCATCGACAACTACGCAAGCTGCCACCTGGCCAAAGTACCAGCTCATGCTGTTGTCACCCGCAACGATCCACAGCTGGCCGAATTAATCTGGAACAGCCTCAACTCAGTACAGGTGGGATATAAAATATTCACACTGCACGAAAAGCAAGCATCAAAGCTGGCTGCCTCATAAGTTAAAACAGGGAGAAAGACCGTGAGTCATGATATAAAAGGGCTAATTTATACGTGTCACCTGTGTTTCAGTTGACCTACAGTATATTTCAGTGCTTTCGTACTGAATTATCTTACCTTTTGTCTTTTCAGGGCTTTGATCTCTTCTCCTCTGCTGCTTATCCAAACTCCAAAAACCTGATGTTCAAAGACTCAACAGTGAAGCTGGTGCAGCTGCCCCCAAACACAGATTCCTTCCTGTATTTGGGTGCTGAATACATGAGCATCGTCCGTTCCCTTAAGAAAGGTACTGTAAACATGAGCAGATAAAACAGACACGTAGATATACAAACCATCACACATTTATTAGACAGCAGACACCCGCTTATGGTTGTGCTTTTATTTTCCAGAGCCCACTGGCACTACATCCACCGCCATTAAATGGTGTGCTGTGGGCAAAGCTGAGACGGACAAGTGTGACATGTGGAGCATCAACAGTATCGCTGACGACGCCACCGCCATTGAATGCCAGAATGCACATACAGTTGAAGAGTGCATGAAAAAGATTATGGTAAAACAGTGTTGTTTGAAGATGTGTGAATCTGTCACAAGCTGATTCTTGTGGCATTTGTCTCTGATTATCTCTCATGTTAATTGTCCTGTAGCGTAAAGAGGCTGATGCAATGGCAGTGGATGGAGGACAGGTGTACACCGCTGGGAAGTGCGGTCTGGTTCCTGCTTTGGTGGAGCAGTACAATGCCGGTATGAGGCTTAGAAGCACAAAAACCATCCCGCAGAATCCTGTTTTATACTTGCTTTTCTGTATGAGTAATATGTGAATCTCTGTCTCCACAGATCTGTGCAGCGCATCTGGAGGTATTTCAGACTACATTAAATATTAAAATATTGATATTACTATATTTAAAAACACATACTATATTTACTTAGTGATACTGAAACATGAAATTAGATTAGAAAAGTGTGTGATTTAGCTGTAATGCAGCCTTGAGGACCATCAGAAGGAAACATTTAATCTATGTCGCTATACTACAATAGCAAAAATCCCAGACAACATCCAGTCATTAACACTGTTCATATTTAATTTCCCAGTAACTCCTGGGGAAGTTTCATAGAAAGAGAAATGTAACTTGGTGCTAATTATGAGAAAAATTGAAATGTTCTTGACAGAGAAGCTCCATTTCAATCCAATTAAATATTCATTCATAACTAATTTATTATTGGAAACTTTATTCTCCATCTATTTTGAGTTTTATGCTTCACTGTAGACAAACTGCACATTTCAGCATGTTCCGCTGACCTGCTGTGCACTTTCAAAAAGCCTCTCTAGATTATGCACACACTTTACAGGAACTGATTAATTGGAAGTGTACCAAGCAAACACTGTCTATTTCTTCCAGTAACAAATCACATAGTTCTTTCCAGGACACCTAATGGAAATCATTAGGACATTACGGAGCAGTAAATATCTACCAAACAGCTTTAGGATGAACTTTTTAATTAGATTAACTGTTAATAGTAATAATAATCTGACGGATAGTTTTCTGATTCGTCTCCCTCTGTACTTCCACTCATGTAGCCGTGGCCTCCTCTTACTATGCTGTTGCTGTGGTGAAGAAGAATTCAGGCGTGACCTGGGAAAACCTGCGGGGCAAGAGGTCTTGCCACACAGGCATCGGCAGAACTGCTGGTTGGAACGTCCCCATGGGCATAATCCACTCACAGACTAATAACTGTAACTTCAGTAAGTGACTGCGGCCTTCCTCTGCTAAAACTCCTGTTCGTATACTACTAAGTTGAAGACTATGTTTCCTATCAACAGTATAAGGAACGTTTTATTGAACACATTGATCTGCAAATTTGTAAAATGTTCTCCTATTTAATTACAAATCCACCTGTAGCAACTAAAACATCTTGTAATGGCTGCAGTATGTAATGCACCTCAAAGCTTTGGTAAAGTTTATGTAAAGACTGTCAAGTGTCAAAATTCTATGCCTTGTATACCAAATATCCACCCTGACCATTGACAATGTCCATACTGAGGGGGGTGAGCTGTGAAAGATATTAGTACGTCTGTGCATGTTTTCAGTGCCTATGTGCACATATTTATGTTTTACCCTTATTGGTCTCTCATATCTAAATGTAATTTTTAGAAGACATGATTGTGTAACACCAACACACACTGTCTCCTCCTCTCCTCAGCTCAGTTCTTCATTAGTGGCTGTGCCCCCGGAGCAGACCCCACCTCTTCATTCTGTCAACAGTGTGCTGGCAGTGGCAAAGCCGTGGGAGATGAGTCCAAGTGCAAAGCCAGTGCTGAAGAGCAGTACTACGGCTACGCTGGAGCCTTTAGGTAGGACACAACCGTGCAGTCATTCGCTGCATACAGTTTTACATGTGGGTATGTTAAAAGAATAGCTTGACATTTTGGGAAATCTCTGAAGAAAAAGTAACTGCCCCTAAAACCCACTAAAACCAAAAATTATTGTTTTTAAACTTTTGTATGAATTGAATTAAACATGATGCATTGTATTAATTGGTGAGCTTTAGGGGCTCTAAAAGGGCATACTTTTTAATATTTGCAAATAGCCGGGCTTGCTGTTTCCCCTTGCAATTTCTTTCCCAAGAGTGTTTCGCCTAGTCCCGTCCTCATGTGTTGTGATTGGCTAGTACATCCATGCATCAAGGTTGGATGCAGTTAGGGTTAGAGCAAAGACGTCATGGTACTATCCAATCTCAGCATAGAAGTGTGGGACTAGGCAGAACACTGGGGGAAAAAATGAACGTGTTTCCTCCTGCTTCATTTCTTATGCTAAGCTAAGCGAACACAGCTCCAGCTCCAATGTTCTCATCTCACTTTTGGCAACAAAGCAATTAAATGTATTTCCAATAGAGACAAACTACTGCAGTAATTACTCTTCCAGAGCACCCTGCACAGGGTAGAAACCTCATCTTCATAAGTTATCTTCTGCATATCGTTATAGGTGTCTTGTTGACGGTGCCGGCGATGTTGCCTTCATCAAACACACAATCGTTGAAGAAAACAGTGGTGGTAAGAGACCGACACTGACCTGTCTTCATCTCAATTATAACTGTGTTGTTTTGTATAAAACTACAACATTGTTCCGCTTCTTCTTGTCAAAGGCAAGAATTCAGCAACATGGGCTAGTGGTGTTAACGCTGACGACTACCAGCTGATCTGCCCTGAAAAGGGTCCAGTGGCAGTCTCTGATTACGTCAATTGTCACTTGGCCGCCGTGCCCGCCCACGCTGTGGTGACTCGTCCAGAGAGCCGCAATGAGGTTGTTCGCATTCTCCTGGAGCAGCAGGTTAGTGATGATTTTTTCTTAGGTCATGAGGAGTAAGATACAGGTTAAAATTCCACAATAGCATTTTTGGGGGAATTTTTTGCACATTTGGTTTTAATTTTACAGGCATTCTCCTCACTTAAAAACAGCATTTTTTTTTACCTTTTACCTCTGTTGACTTCTGGCTATGTTATGGATGGTTAAATTATATAATTAGATCGTGTATAAAATGAATACATCTGTCTTTGAATTAAATATAGTAAGTTGTTTTAAATCTAATTTTATTTGTATTTATAGGTCAAGTTTGGCACCAATGGCAACGATCCCTCATTCAAGATGTTCCAGTCAGATTCTGGAAAGAACCTCCTCTTCAAGGACTCCACTCAGTGTCTCCAGGAGGTTCCAGCTGGAACAAACTATGAAGGGTTTTTGGGACAAGAGTACATGACTTCCGTTAATTCACTCAGAAAGTGCAGTGAAACCACCTCAGGTTTGTACAGCTTTTGGTCAAAGAGATACTAATAGGGCTGTAATTTAACTGATTGATGTTAAAGGTCCCATGTTGTAAAAAGTCAGATTTCTAAAGCAGATATGGGTGTTATGTAAATACTGTTAAAGTGTCAAAAAGTTTAATCCACAGAGAAATGCACACAGTCCGTATTAAGAAACCTTTGCCTTTGAATGAGTCAGGACTTCCCTGAAGTTGTGATGTCACAACTATACTACAGAAAGTAGAAACGACTGCTACAGTACCGTAACAGATAGATTTTAATAATACCTAATATCGTGGTGTGCTGCCCACTGAATATGCACAGTGGTGTTTGTCCCTCTGGCCCTGCTCATGGGTTTCCTGCTCAGCTCATAGACTTTACATTTTGATGATATCACAGATTTTTAACTCACTTTTCTCAGCTTAAGGAAAGTTACAAATGTAAAACCTCTATGGCTCAAAAAATCAGAATAGAAAGATTCATAATTGACCTTGTTTGCAGTTTGGGGTGTTGTGTCAACAGTTTTAAAGGCATCCCTTCTATAATGTGGCCTTCCTCAGGGCCTGCATTACAGTTATTTCCCAGTTGCAATGATGGTGCAGAGACACCAAGAGCACAGATGTGGAAGACCCAGAAACACTTAGCCTACCAATCAGAGTGGACTGGGCTTTTTTTGGGGAGGTAGGCTTAGGGTGATAGGTGTTAAAACTGAGCATTTCAGATGGAAGGTGAATACAGGTATTTTCAGTCAGACAGTATGAGAAAAATAATGTGTTTTTTTAACATTAAAGCATGCAAACATGTTCCAGTAGAAACCCAAAAATGAACCTGAAAATGCGCATAATAATGGACCTTTAAAATTGTCTCCTTGTAGCCTTGCCAGGCCTTAAAAATATGCCCGCTCTGCATTCTCGAATCTTTTTTTTTTTTTTTGCTCATATGTTTGTCTTTTTCTGTTTCCAACAGATCTGGAGAAATCTTGCACTTTCCATTCCTGCCAGCAAAAAAACTAGTGGCAACCATGGACCACGCGGTGCATCATTCAGCCTCCAATGATTCAAGCACCTTACCCACACTTCTCACACTCAACCCCAAAATTGCATTGTGCATTTTCTTGCTGATCCTTTTGTAGACCTGTTTTTAGAAGTACGACCAACAAGCAGATACATTGCACTACCACAACTTACAAATCAATCACCCTGTGACCAATCACGCCCCCATGTAGCTATTTTCATGCGGTTGAAACCTAATGTTACGTTACCTTTGTTATTGGATCAACTATGTTTTGTTAACATGTGCCTGACTTTTCTCAAATAAAGCCTTTTTAATGCTCTTTTGTGGCGACACTATGGTTACTTTCTGCAGTAGTGTAATGTTGAGACACTCATCTGAAAAATCACTAAAAGTACATAGTGGTATTATAATGAAAGGGTATATGATAAGGACAATATTATCGAATTTGCATCCAATGCTATAAACAGCTTGCAGTGGCTTATTGGCTGTAAATTTACAAGTCTAAAAGTAAATTAACTTAATAAACATTAACTGGTACTGTCTTTTTGGATGACAGTGTGTGTCTATTTGACAATGTGCTTTTGGGGTACTCCGAAAAGCCTCCTTAAAGCTCCACCCAATCAAAAATCTGCACAAAATCCTGTGGCAGACATCTAATCATTAACAGACAGGAAATTATATATCACTAGGGGTGAGTTTTCAGTACAAAGACCCCATCTGACTATTTATGCCAAAACTTAGGCAATAGGCAAACACATTTTCGTTGACTGAAGCTGCTATGAGCCACCAGGGTAAAAATTAACTTTGGGCCCTGAATGACCTCCTGTATGTGGTCATTTGTTTAAACTAAAATCTATTTAGTAATATGCATCATGTAGATTGTGACACAAGACTTTGCCACATATAGTGCAGACTGTGCAGGTAGGTAATAATGCAGAACACCCCTTTATCATTTCAGCTGATGCCCTATTTTAGTTGTGCACATTCCCAAACAAATTTGCTGAAACTTTGTCATTTTCCAAGTAAAAGTCAGAAACATTTGATTGTTTCAGCCTCTCAGGTGCGGGGAGCTGCTGCTTTTATAGCCATATGTCATAATTAACTTAACATCTGTGTCTTAGTTACTGTTTTGGGGAACCTCAAATAATATAAATATGTAACCTTGGGCTCTGAGAAATTTAAATTTGACTCTTTACATTTTACAGAAAAAATATGAAGCGAGTCATAAAGAAAATAACTTATTAGTTGAAAATGAAGATAATTCTCCTGCCAATATCCCCCTATCTATTAATCATGGGTACAAATGAGCTGTCTTTAGAATAAAGCAGAGTACAATAGTTTACTTACATGGGGCATTTAATTAGTTACTTCACAATTTAATACAGGACAGACTAAGGAGATAATGATGAGGGTTACAAAAACAATCTCACCTCAGTCTACTCAGTAGTTTGCTTTCTCTGTAGATGGAGTTTGTTGAGATTTAATGGAATGTAGATGTTTAAATTTCCATTTATTAACAAGTAAAGGTAGCACGCACATCCCAAAAAACTTAATGCTGGGTGCTGGACCAAAAGGTAAGTATGAAATAAAAGATATTTAAAGTATATTAATATTTAAAGTGTGTGTGATATGTTTATATTTACATTTGCACTGCAGGCCTTATCCCTGCGCAAATTCTTAAAGATTTTCTAAAAGAATCTTTGTAAAGTGGTATTTTGGCATTGTTGTATTGTACTGTATTTAAAGATTGTTTCTCATCAATCAGAAAGATTTTTTCTTTCTGATTGATATTACTATTTTTCTCACACCTGTGGTTTATCACCTGACTGTGTCAGGTGACCCTAAGGGGTTGTATATATGGAGGTGTATTCACATTTACTTTATGTCTGATGAAGGGCAGGAGCCCAAAACATTACATCTAAATAAATTTTCAAGGAGCAGCTTCTGGTGTGTGGACTTTATCTTTTATTCCATAAATTTCCATTTATCCCTCACCACTAAGGAGTACAATATTAATACTTAATACTAGACTACTGTGTCAGGCCACATTCTGTCATAGTAAAGCCAGTACCACCACAGACTTTGTGAAATGCATGACATGAGTATATTGTATTAGTTTCAGCTTATACAGTACGTTGAATACAGTGGTGTAAACAGTATTCAGATCCTTTACATAAGTAAAAGTACTATGAAAATACTCCACTACTACAAGTAAGAGCCCTGTGCTTGAAAAAATATACGTAAGTCAAAGTATTCACTGTATAGTAAAACATTTTCTGTCAGTACTTTATGAGTATATATGATATTTTTGGATATATAATTTTACTGCTGCATCATGGTTCATTTTACTGCTGTAGGTGTTTTAAGCTGTGCTCATTATGACTCCTTTATATGGCCTACTTCTTCAGTTATTTTCTTTATTTTACTCTTTAATTTGATTTTGTCTTAGATTTCAATCTTTTACCATACAATATAAGCAGAAACAGAACAAGAACAGTATCATACATGTACGAGTGAAACACTGAGAAGACAAAATTAAAGCTGTACCAAGCAGAAAAACATAACAAAAGAAAAATAAATCTAACATACATTAAAGTAAACATAAAGATGTGAGCGACTTGTGCCAAAAGGTTCACTTAAAGATTATAAAAATAGTGCATACATTTACTGTTTTGATAGCTTCTTTGATGTGTGAGGATGAAAAAATTGTTGTATTTCCTTCATAAATACAAGTTTTATTTGTGAGTTTACATTTGTGAATGTGAAATTTGGCAAAAAGTAAAATTAGATTAATAAGGAATAATGCATTCATATCTTTGGCACAGTAATCGTAGCACCCAAATATAATATTTCTGAGAGAATGTTGTCAACTATAAATTCAGTAACATCTGTTATGGCCTACTGTTGGATAGTTTAATCTTTAGCAATGCAGAGAACCACACATCTCTGAAACATCAACTTTTCATGGTGTCAGAAAAACAGCCCTGTTTCCTGCTTTGTGATGATGTAGTGTGCAGCTGATCCAGGAGGGTTTATTTACCTTAAAAAGGGAGAGAATCAACACATCTGTAGATTAGTGGTTTTAATGAAGAGGAAGGGAGTGAAAAAATATCATCTGAAAAGTAACTAAAGCTGTCAGGCAAACGTAGTGGAATAAAAAGGTCAATATTCCCTGGGATTACAAGTGGATGTATGAAAAAGCATCAAATGGAAATACTCAACTTGTACCAAAGTACTTGAGTATAATAGCCTACATAGGAATAAAATAAAATAAATGAAATAAAATAAAAATCCAGTCTTTTCTATGGCAGCCTTCTTGCTTACATTCTTCTGCTGCTTTAATACCAATTTATTGTGAAGCAAGGGCTGATGAATTGATCTGAGCTCCTGTATCACATGACCAAGGAAACGGCATCAAAATTTAATTTTCCCGGAAGTTACCCATGCGACTTGGAGGCGCACCGGCTCCATAGACCAGAAACATCGCATTATGGCCTCGCTCTGAGCCTCCTGATGCGACAGTTGTGTACATACCTAACCGGCAATCCGTCACCATCGACGCCTTGATCATGGACCTCCGGTCCAGAGGCTTTTTTCGGGGCCATCGGAATTGTCAATAGTACTCCCGAAGTACTATATTATTAGATTTTGAGCACTGTCACTTTTGCTCGCCCGGGGATTTAAACCGAAGTGACAGTAGTAGCACTCACCCCATCTGCCGGTCTGCTAGCTAGCTCGCTAAGTCAATAGCCAAGAAGGGCATCACTTTTCTTTTGGAGTAAAGGACAAGGGAACTACAACACCACTACTTTCACTAACAGAAGACTGATCAGAGGCTGAATCCCTGAGTTCCCATCTTACAACATATTCACTTTTGATTCCTGGTAAGAATAAAACCAACTGACGGCGGTAAAGCTAGCTTGAAGTACACCCGAGCTCGGCTTCATTTTTGTCAAAGGCACACAGGCTAGCTAGCTAATGTTAGCTGGCTGAACAGGCCCCGCCGGCTGTCAGTCCTAACACTGGGATAGCTAGTGTGCTAATCTCGCCCAGAATACGAAAACGGATAAAACCAAATTAATCTGAGTGTTTTAATGTTATTTACAAGGTAGGTATTTAACCTTGAGGCATTCTTTAGAGCTGCTTAGCTAACGTTAACCTGACAGCCAGGGTCCCTCGCTCATGTGGCTAATCTTCATATGGTTACGTTACCGTTATCACCGAACGCTTCGTCAGTTAGCACCAGTGTCATTGGTATAACATGATTTTCACTGAGTTTGAGAGCTAACGCCCCGATGGTAACGCTTTGACTGAAACCCTGGTGCCAGTTGTCTTGTTAGCACCATATCGGCTCAAGTTTATTGTCAGGTTGGTGGTTTCATTTGCTGGCGGACCTTGCTGGGCCTGTAATTAAATACACCTCGTAGGACAGGGCTGGGCTAAACCGCTAATGTTAACCAACATTAGCTTAACTGTAACCTAATCGGTGTGTCAAGTGTTGCAACATTATTGCTAGGACCGGCTTATTTGCTGTTCTCTAGATTCGATTGCTCAACATGTTGTCCATCAGCACAGGGAAACTATCAAAGTGAGCTCTGTGTACTTTAAGGTTAAATGTGGACTGAGCGTTCAGCCACGTAGCGTAACTGAGCAAAATGTCTATGATAGTGGGACACGTAATGTTAGCCGGCTGTCGGCTAACGATTTAACCTGCTTCGGCCGGGAATGCTGCCTCGTTAGCGGGCCAGCAAAATGTCAATTCATATTATAACTTAGCTAAAACACAATATGAAGGCCTTGCTGGACTGCATGTCACATTTAATCGCGCTTCATAAAACTGTTAGCCATCTTCTGCTGACAGAACCATATGGTAGCTTTGTACATTGATGCCCTGTGTAAAAGAAGCATGGCATTAGCTAGCAGCTAACGATAGTTCCTGTGTCAGCAGGTGGATGGTGGATGACACGTCTGCTAGTGAGTAGTATTCATCAGATTTTATTAATTCCACCATGTCATAGTTATCCCACCACCTATACATCAGTGATTACTCTTGATAACTGCGGCCAGATTGGAAACGGATGCCGACTTATTTGCACATGTAGCTAGCACAACCAGGGGGCATTGGAGCCACTGTTAACACAGTAAATGAACTTTGACCCGAGGTATCCATTTTCTTAAATTCACTCTAAACCAGACCAATCCAAGTGATTTGGTAGCAGGCACATATGAATTGGAAGTATGTCATAATTCATCCCCATTAGCTATTTGCTTTTTGCTGTTTGGCTAAGTCATGATCATTATGAACGTGTTTCTTTTTTTATAACAGGCACAGCCCCCCTTTTTAAATGATCTAATAGCCACTATGACCCCTTTTCTACTCATCAACAGACTATTTCAGATAAAGGTTAAAACATGAGTCCATTGCTATGTGTTCAGGTAATAGGAATCTGCAGAGGATGTCAACACTAATTGCTCATAAGACTGCACACATGAGCCATGCAAGTGAGGGATCGTGGGAGGTGGTGTCGTTATCATAGGCGAAACCACAGACCACACCCTCACTGCTTGGTTAGATGATGCCACACTTAAGGTTCATTTCTTCGTACTGTGTTAAGCGATATCTAACCTGTATGGCTGCAATTATCGTGTTTAATGGAGATCAAATTTGAACTGGAAGCATTTCCCCTCAGTGCCTTTATTTAACACTTGGTCAGTGCTTAATTGAGCTTTTTTTTCCTCAATATCTTGCTCCTCTCTTCCTCAGAAAGGCTGGCAACACAAGGCCACCCTAATGCAGAACCATAAAAGAACGTGAAATGAACAAACCACCACAGCCTATAACGGGACCCACTTCTGTCCCAAACCCTGCCCCATCCCCTGGATTGACACAGGTGAGAACAACTGACCTTGTAGAATGTAGAAGTTGTTTTGGTAAACTTAAGTTTGGTAACATGTATTTTTCCCCCCTTCTCTCCTCTGAAGGCCGCCTACGGTCCTGGACAGCCCCCTTCTCTTGTTTTTGCCACCCCACCTCCACAAATGAACTCTGCACCAACGCCAAGACAGGTATTATTTACAGCATGCTTTTTTCTTTCTGCCGAGGTTTTTGTATTCAGTGTCTGGGTGTGTGATATTTTGCCCTATATGGAAACCCTCCCTTTCCTACTATTTCACAAAGACTTCTGACACGGCGGCTTCTGCAATAAGGCTTTGGCTAAATCTGTGTGTGTGTGTTATGGCCTATTTGCCATGTTTCTCCTTGAATGTCAATCTTGACTTCTTTCCTCTCTTCTGCTGTCCTCCCAGTTTGCTGCAGGCCCCCGTACTTTACACCAACAGGTACTAACACCCCTCACTTTTCCGCACATCCCCACTGTCTCCTTAGTGTAATGCATGCTTTCAGTTCCACGTGTTGGAGTATTGGATGAGAACGCTGTAGTGTTTAACTTTTCCTGAGGTCCAGTAACATTGAGTTCTATATCTCATTCTAGAAATGCATATTTCTGTGTCTGAAGTTGTGCCATTTTTATTAAGTTGTTGCAGGGTTGCAATTTTTCGATAGCAGATTTCATCCAGGCCTTATTTATTCTTTATTCATCCTGCACATACCCACATTTTTACCCCCATACTTCTTTGCATTTGCAAGACATCGTCCCAAACCTGCCGTCATAATGACAGAATAACAGCTTAGCAGGTTAATATTAAAGTGAATGGATTTTAGTACCTGTAGCATTCTAACACTGTTTCAATGCCTGCATGCGCCTGCAGCCCCTAAGTGATTCTTTTACCACTCAAAACTGGGACCCGCAGGACATGAGGGGTGCTTACTTCTATGCAGACCTCTATAGAGATGCATGTGTACAGCTATGGTTGTTTGAGCTTACTGTTCATGGCTGAGAGATATTTTGCTGCTGCCTCTCATACTCTTCCTTCTTACACCTTGTTATCTCAACCTTCCACATTGTCTCTTGTCCTCATTTTCACCTTAATCTCACTCCCTCTCTTGCTCTCTGCTCATATGTTGCGCGGCTGAAGGGTGGATACAGAGCATTACAGGTAACAGCTTTTCTCTTCGTCCCTCTCCCCCCCCTCTTAACTTGGGCTAACCTCAGTGTAGCAGGGAGATATGACATTCAGTACACTTTGGACTCAGTGTAACCCAAGAGCTGAACTTTCTGTACACATTGGCAGTTGCTGTGAGTGCTTCCAGCTGAGATTAGGGGTGTGTGTGTGTGTGTGTGTGTGTGTGTGTGTGTGTGTGTGTGTGTGTGTGTGTGACTGGACACACACATGCAGAACACATGGGTTAGGACCACCATGGTTAAGATACTCAATGCACACACAGCAACAGGTTTGCTTGTGCAGTTCTGCATTCTTCATCCCTCTTCCTTCGTTCTCCCTCACCTGTTCTCCAGAGTTACTATCAGAACCGACCAGCCATGGCCACCAGTGCTCCAAGGGTACAGACAAGTAGTGGCCCGCGACCTGTTGGACCTGCCCACGTCTACCCACCTAGCTCCCAGATGATGATGATCTCCCAGCAGCAGCTGTCTTTTGCTAGCTCCCCTCAGGGCTACTTCATCCCCCCTGGACAGGTTGGTTCACATTCTGTTTGTTGCAGTGACAGACATATAACTGGTCTACCCTACAGCTTGCCCACATCAGACTGCGTACATGCAAATTATATTACTGTAGTGGTACAAATATAAGACAGCATTTTTCTGAAGAAATAGCATTTGAAAAAGTGGAGGTCAAAGACATTTACATGTTCAAGCTGAGGTAGGCAGAAATCTGGAAAGGCAAAGGGGAAAACAATTTAATTTGAAAATACACCCTCTTCCTGCAGCTTTCCCCTCGCTGTCCTAAGCCCCTTCCATCAGACAGGCATGCACACACTTAATACAGTTATCCAGTGTTTCCTATAAATTGGGTTATCTTATTTCCCTGTAGAGCTGTGCGACAGAAAATGAATCGCCAACTGTTTTGATCATCAAATACTCGTTTTCATCTTTCTTTCTTTTTTTAAAGCAAAAGAGCCAAATATTTGGTGATGCTTCCTAAATATGAAGATTCAATGCTTTTCTTTGTTATATATGATAATGAACTGAATAGTTTGGGATTGTTGGATTGTTGGATGGTTGGAAGACGTCACCTTGGACTCTGGGAAATTACACAGGGCATTTTATACTTTTTTTTTTCACATTTTACTGCCAAAAAATATTTATCAAGAAAATAATAGGCAGATTATTCATTAACAAAAATAATCATCATATAATATTATATATAGATATGTATTGTAACGCAATAATAGTTGTAGCTCTAGCTGGGAGTGAGGTTGAGGACACACTGTCATTCGAGGCTCTAGCTAAAGTTAGCTACCTAAAAGTGAACTTGAAGCCAAAGCTATGAGCTTTTGGCTCTGGTTAGCAGAAGGCTTTACCTTTTATCAACATTTTAGCTCTATCTCTTAAAAGCTTTGCTGAAATTGACATTTGTTTCTTTTCTTTTTTTTTATGTCAGAATCTCTCTTAGACTCTTTTTGTCAAGTCCATCTTTGTTTTTTGGCTGGAATAGCAACTTTCTCTGTAGGATTCTCCGCCATTAAATCAGTCTTACACCGAAGAGACGTGCGTGCATATCTACAGTTATAGGAATGCCCGCTCTGTGAAATGATCTGTGATTGGCCAAAGTCTCGGGGCAAACACTAGATTTTCTAAAGCCTGAAAACAGAGCCAAGAAAAGGTTCAGAAGTTTGATTTTCTCTAATTTTCCCTTAGTACAGTATGCTCAGAGTTTATTATGGGATTTTTGCCCAGTGACGCCAAAAAAAAAAAAAAAAAACAGGTGTACCTGAGCTGTAGCAACTGTAGATGTTCTCTTTGAATAGAAGAGGGTGCCTGACCCGACAGAGTGAGCTTAAGCTAAATTTGTTTAGTCAGCCCAGTTTAACCTACTCTAGTTACTGATGGCTCATTTAGCTGGTTTTGCTGCCTTGGAGAAATTAAATTTTTGGCAAATGAAAATTAGTTGAAAGCCTCTTCCAACAAGACAGATCGGGGACCGAATCATTTGTCAAGCAGCCAAGAATTACCAGTGTCAGAAAATGTCATAATGGGAAGCTGAAAAATGCTAACCGCCAGAGAAAATCAGTCTTTATGCTTCCAAGCGCTAAACAGGAGAGTGTGTGAGCATGTGACTGATAGACACAATGAAGGCGTAGCAACATTTGAAAACAAAGAGCCACACAAATGTGTGAGTTTCTTATCTCCAAAAAACAGTTCTTAGAAAAAGGGTCTCATCTTGTTGGAGCCAGTACAGTATGTTACTGTGGAGATGGCAGAGATTTATCTGATGCTCTCCCTACTTAACTGTTCCATCTATTGTTGTTGTCTCTGACTCTTGATTTTGCCTCTGCAGTACCGGGCCCCATACATGCCTCCTACTCAGCAGTATCCTGTGACCAGCGGTACAGCAGGCTTCTATCCGGGAACTAGCCCTGCTGAATACTCTGCTTATGGTAAGGGTTTTTGACTAAGACCGACAACAACCAAGCACAACTATAAACACGGAGGATTATCAGTTAAAAGAGGTGAAATCTCAAACACCAGAACATTTAACAGGGATTTTAAGCATGTAGTTTTAATCCATATCAGCTGAGCACCTCTTTACCCATAAAGCATCGCTGGATGTGTTGTGGTTTTGCTTGGCTGGTTGGTGTGTTACATGTCTTTTTGGGTCAAAACACTGCTGTGTGTGGTGAACTGCCAGTTGCATGTGGTCTGGCTTGATTCTGCTTTGGCCTGTGTTCTTTCTATCTGCAGTCTCACCTGACACTGCCTTACAGGTTCCATGAAATGGCTTTTTTTTCTTTTGCTGGATGTATATCCATATTAACATGCTGTTGAGGTGGGATTTAATGTTAGGAGTTACCTAATTTGAATATTAATGAGAATTAAAAAACATCTAGAAGAGAGACAAAAATGGAAAGCAAACATCTAAGTAATGGAGCAGCCACTGCACTTTTGAGAAAACATTTTTTTTTTTTTGAAAATGCCACCCCAAACACACTTCTGACTTGTGTCACCGCTGCAAATACTCATTTGCTAAAATGAGTGCAAATGTTGTATTTTTTTTTTTGTTTGTTTGTTTAAAATATGAGGCATTGTTAAAGATATGCAAAAAAACACTGACCTAAGAATAATATGCAGCCAGGAACACAAGGCACATTAAAGACATTGTTCATTTCATGGGACCTTTTTAACACCCTGCTTCCTCTGGATCCTCTCATTAACTCATTCTGCATCTGTCTCTTCCTGCCCTCTCTCCTTCTTTCCTCCCTCTCCCGCCCCTCACTCCCTTCCTCTCGTTTGCTGCGTTGGTTCAGAGCCCTCTCTTGCTGCGAGGGAGAGGCGGGGTGGTGGGGGGAGAGGGGGCGGCCGAGAGAACGGCCGTCTCTCTCTCCACGGTGCTCCTCTCACCTCCCAGCGCTACCCTGGTGAGTAGTGTGTGTGCTTGTGTGTTGGTCAGCAGGCTTTAGTGGCAAAAATCTCTGTGGCACTTCCTGTCTCTGATAGTGTTTTTTTTCCTTACCTTATTTTGGTAACACATGTTTACTTGGGATGCAAAGTGAAGGTCAAATATACAAAACATATGAATTCCACTGTAAATATCTTCAAGGTGGAGATGAAAAACTGAACAATATATGACTGTGGTTCCTTTGATGTCTACCCTAAGCAAGATATGACACTGCAATCAAACTATTGGATTCATTTAGATTTCTCTAGTAACTAATATTTCTCTTTTCCGCCAGAAGGGCACAGCCATCTTTCAACAAGCTAGTCGGTGACGTCACGAGAATGGTGGTTTGCTAGGAGCACTGAGTACAGCACTGTACCTAAGATTAATCAATAAATTGGAGTTTGAGAGTTTGGATGAGATACAGAGAACTATGGACAAAGGTAAAAACCAATCAGCAATTCCTTTTGAGCCAATAAGACTATATAAATGGACAAGACCTGCTTCTGTTGAGCCAGACCATATAAATGGGTAAGACCTGCTTCCATTGAGCCAGATGACAGTGGCGAACATGAAAGACTGCTTGTACTTGACTAGCATGTTATTCAGTGTCAGGTTACTGCAGCTGCACTTCTCCACATGAAGTACGTGCTCTACCAGTGTCCCCAATAAAGGAGTCAAGTTGTCAGACCAAAACAACAGTGAGGTGCTTCTAACTTCACGTTATCACTATCATGTCTCAGCTAACTTAGCTAATGTAAGCCTAACCCAGCTTTTACATCCACAAGCCACCTTTTATTATGATCAACATCATTCCCAACTAAAAAATTGAGTCCACAGTCGTCATTTTCTGCATCACCAAGCAGTGGTAAAATAAACAAGCGGTATGACTTTGGTTGGGTTTAGCGCCACTTGAACACCACTTGAAGTTGTTCCTTCTCCTTGTGGGGGTCGGGTTAGATAGCTGCTGGTGGCAGCCCTCTTCTCAGTGTTCATAATGGACTTTTTTCCTTGCCATGGAGACACCACCAACATCTTGCTGGCTCTGTGGTAGAATTTTGGAAATGAGGAGCTCCCTCCTGCGACAGAATAGGCTCATAACATTAGCCTAGTTGATGATGTTAGCTTTGCCTTAGATCATTAACTAAAAGTATTCCTCTATTTAGCGTTGTAATGGCTCCTCTCCTGCTTTTGCACATCCATACAAGCAATCCCAAACCTCAGTTCTTCATCATCAAAGGACAAAACATGTTTTACAGTACCAAGTTTACCAGGCCTGCTTCAACAACTAAGATGAACCATAAAGCATCCTTGTAACATCACCAACTAGCTTGCTGAAAGATATATTGTTCTTATTTTCTGTCTTTCCTTCAGTAAAAATCAAACTAACCACAGTCATAGTGTTCAGTGTTTTATCTCCTCTTTAATGCAGTAGTGAAGGTTTTTCTGAATGATGATTATACTACCAGAAAGTACACTTTTTATTCATTCATACTGTGTTAGTGCAGTGTATACCATATCAGGTTGTGGACAGCAGTGAACAATATAGTTGCATTTTATATAAAGGTTATATCTAGGCTGTAAAGGTTATTTAAAAACTAATAGCTTTAGTAGGCAGTTAGACTTCCTTTCACATGCAAATCACCCAAACCTGTGCTGTCGTCAGTTGCTTAAACAATATCCTTCAGCTTTGGGGGGGGGGGGGGGGAAACAAAAAGCCAGGATTCCCTTTAACATGCTGCTTCTGTCCGACCTTCACAGTTTGGATGTGAAGGTTGTCACTTCAAAAGACTGTATCGTAACCAATTTCATGCTAGTGTTTTTAAGATTGAATAACTTAAACAATCACACAAGCTTCCTGTAACGGTTTCATTCTTTCAGTTAAATTCAGCATCACTAGAGGAAGAACACATAAACCAGAATGACGATTAGCTTTAAGTTCATATTTCGTTCATTGTAATCCACACACCTCATTAAGGCTCTTGGTGTGGATTTATGTTTCTCTGCTCCTACAGGAATCTCCACTCTGTTATTGCAGTATGTGTGTTTTAATTTGTGTTATTGTAGAAATATGAATAGAACCTTCCCACAAACCACTTTGCATGTTCTTTATGAAAAACATGGCAAATAAAGATGTTTTTGGTCGTAAATACAAAGAAAAAAAATCTTGTGAATCCTGGATCGACGCTTATTCGAATGTGAAGCTGCGTCTTTCACCTGAGTGTTGTTAACTTTTCATTAATTGTTTGCCTAATTTTACTGTTACAGCAGGAGCATACTATCCAGCTCAGCCGCAGTACTCTCCGTCTGTCCAGCCAGCGCCGGTCATGATCAACCCCGCCCAGCAACAGCCACAAGCCCCAGCTCCTCAGCAACCACCGGCACAGTCACAAGGGCCACCAAAGAGAGAACGCAAACCGGTAGTGTGTCACAACAAAAGGGCAGCGCACCTCTTGTCTGAGGTCAAAAAAAAAAATGAATGGACAGAAAGTGTATTGTGTGTTTACTGTAGAACTTTCCCTTTTACCTGAAAATAACAACAGTATTTATCATGATGGGTGGCAGCTATAGATCAGTAGTGGCAGCATCCTTTACATACTGTCTCTATTTTAATGTTGGATACATGTTTTGTGGCAACTTAACTAATACGTATTACTTGCTTGGTCTTCTTATAGATAAGGATACGAGACCCTAACCAGGGCGGGCGTGATATCACAGAGGAGATCATGTCAGGTGGAAGGTCCACCACCACGCCAACTCCCCCACAGGTACGAAGCATTTTTAATGACTCATTTAAACTCTGATCTGAAGCAAGCATGGCTGTGTACGTAGTTAAAGATAAAATTGTTGTATCGATTGTAAGTCCTGAGTACTAATAATGACTCATGTTTGTGTTAATCTGGGATAAAGGTTTAGTTTTTCCCATTTTAGAAATCCAAATTGTTGTCAGCTATTCTTTACTGACTTGAGGTACCGTATGTGTGTTAAATAAATTAAAGCACAGGTGACTCTAACTCTGAAACTCAAGTTGTTGGAGAAAAAAAGAAATAAGATCTGTAATTCTGACTTTTATTTTGTCTGAACTGGTAGTTGGCTTATCTGACAACGTAGTAATTTTTCCAAATATAAAACAAAAATGTATTATTTATGTCTTTCGATTTAATTACACATAACATAATGATTTAAAAAATGTACACTTTGAGCACATCACGACTGTACTCTAAATATGAAGAGAAGAAAGGACATTTGGTGTGTTTGTATGAACAAAGGACACATTGTCGGAGAAAACAAAGCACAGCTCAGAAATTCTTTGCACACCAGCTCCCAACTTATTTACTTTTCATAGAGGTAATTACATGTTTTCACATCTCTGTGCTAACGTCTTATTATCAGCACAGCACAAGTGTAGCACGTTTCACAGAACAAACAATACAAAGCTGAAGCAAAGACACACAAATATTCGATGATGCTTTGAGCTGTGTTATATTTTTAGGCTAGTCTGCCTCAACTTGCAAGTACATGAGTTGCCAGCTGGGTTCGGCAAACATAAGAAATACTTGGGCTTAAATGAAATGCAAAACGCTTCAACAGCAGGACACACTACGGCCTTCAAAATGATCACAGAGTAAAATCAACATGTCTTTGATGTAGTCTCAATTTAAAGTTATTTCATTGCATTGCAGAGATGTTGTGATGGATAACATTAAAGGCATGGATGTAATTAAAAATGGTTGTGATCTGTGTATATGGGACCTTAAATAATACTTAATACTGTTTTGTGATTGCAGGCCTCCTCAGCAGATTCAAGTCCTGCACAGACCAACGGTGAAGTTACACAGCCTGCCACTACAGTGACAAGAAGAGGTGAGTACTTCATATCACAGTGCAAGCTGTCTTTTGTGATAGCTTTATCGCGAATGTTGATATTGTGATAAAGATAAATTTTTGATATATTGTGCAGCCCTGATCCCCAGAAGGTGGCAGTGTTTCAGATTTTCCTCTTTGTGATTATTTCATGTGTTTCACTGCCCAGATGAAAACATGGAGCCTCCCATTTGCGCTGAAACCCCACCTCCTCCTGCGACAGTAAATACAGAGCCTGTGGTGGAGGTCAAACAGGAAATGGACAACCAGATGACACCACCTGCTGAGTTACCCGCACAATGTGTAGCCCCTACAGCCACTGCTGAGGTGCCGTCCCCATTGATAAAGGACCAGCAGTCTCCCTCTTCCCTACCTGCAGCAGCAGCAGCAGCAGCAGCAGCACCTACTCCTCCTCCTGCTGAGGCAGTAGATAAAGTTGATACTAAAGTTAGTGACACAGTAGACGCTCCTGTCGTCCCTTCACCATCATTAGCAGCACAAGAGGCGCCTGTGAAAATGGAAGAACCACAGACTGCCCCAGCTCCAGCTGAGAAGGGACCAGAGGAGGAGGAAAAGAGAACAGAGGAAGTGAAGAAATTGGAAACAGAGGAGCAGGTGGCCAGCGCTAAGTTGGAACCTGCAGTGGAGGTTGCTGCAACAGTTACCCCTGTTATTGAGGCAAAAGAAGAAACGGCTACAAAGAAAGAAACTGAAGTTTCTCCGCCTACACCCTCTGCACAGGAACCAGCTGCTCCACAGACACAGAACACAACACCGAGCCCTGCCCCTGAACCTGAACCCACACCGGCTGAAGCGGCAGAGCCTCTTCTCTCCAATGGCCTCCCTCAGGACACTGAGGAACTGTCTGAGGATGTGGCATTTTCAGACACTACACCCCTTGACAAGCCGGATGCTTCTCAATCTCAGGAATCCACACCTGTGGCTAAAACGGTAATGCCAGCCCAAGAGGAGGAGGAGCAGGTGGAGGAAGAGGAGGAGGAGGAGGAGAAGAAAGAGGAAGAGAGGAAGGAGAAAAGTGAGGATGCCCCTCCTGCCCCTGTCAGCCCTCCTACAGAGGAATCTACTATGCAAGGTAGGGTTGATTCTGTCTCACATTTGTGATTATCATATGTGTCTTACTAGATTTTAAAGTCAACACTGTGTCCTTTTGTTGAAGCTGCAACGTCTGTGCCAAAGAAGAAGAAGAACATAAAGGAGCTCAAAAAGAAGGAGGCCATTGGAGACCTTCTGGATGCCTTCACAGAGGTGTGTATCAGTCCAGATGACAACATGAAAGATTGACATTAACACAAGGTCATGGGGTCTCAGCAGTTTCAGCTGTTTCAACAATATTTTTGAGGATATTTAGTTTTATAACACTACATTCTCTGAAGAGTAACTGGGTTATCATAATACGTCTTCAACTCTTCCCGTTTTTTTTTTGCCGCAGGAGCAAGAAGCCAAGCCTGCTCCTGAACCCTCATCCACTCAGGCTGACCCTGTCCCTGTTGCTCCACCCGAACCTCCCGCTGAGGTTGCTGATGAGACTTGGGAGGAGAAAGAGGACAAGCAGAATGCAGAGCCTAAAGCCACACCTGAGCCAACTGAGAAGAAATACCAGTACAAAGAAGGTATGCTGCGACTGAGATTCTCCAGAAAGATAGAAGATAGATAGATTGAGTGTAATGGATGTGAGGCATCTGCAATTTTAGGTTTGGTCTTCCTCCATACAGCACTGTAAAATACATTGCAGACTTATTTCTGTAACTTGTCAGTCACCTTTCCTGCAGTGTAACCGTCTTTGAGACCTTGTTTTTGCTCTTTTCACTGAGGTTTATATACCATGCAGTTATGTTGAATGATGAAATGCTTTCAGCCTTCAACCTCTTTTGCACTTGTACCAATGTTGTTTATGCGCACGGGCAACCTAAAGTTAAAAAGCAAGAGGCACATGAAAGAATATGAAGACACAAGTTGCACCGCGTTAATGCAACACTGTGTCATGCAACATTTCTTGTTCATCTCTCAGAACAATGGAAGCCAATAGACCCAGAAGAGAAGAAGCGGTACGACAGAGAGTTCCTCCTGGGCTTCCAGTTTATCAGCGCCAGTATGCACAAACCCGAGGGCCTGCCTACCATCAGTGATGTGGTCCTGGACAAGGTTGGGGATGTTATTCATACTAATGTCATCTATGTGTGACATTGTGATAAATAAGTGGATGTTAAATTAGAAGCGCTGGGGAAGTTTTAGTGACAGAGAATGAGGAAACATGATGTCCATCTTATCTGGTCAGTGTTTTGTATTTTTGCATAACACTAAAGTCATTTTCCCTCTTCAGGCAAACAAGACTCCACTACGGCCCGCTGACCCAGCTCGCATGATGAATGTTGGCCCTGATTTTACTCCCTCGTATTTGGGGAACCTTGGGAGCAGATCGGTGGGAGGACCACGAGGCCCAGTGAGTTTCTTAAGAAAGAAAATTCTTGTCCCTTTTGATCATGGCAGTGATCATAATTATGTGTATTTGTTTTGTTGAATAAGGTTTCTTTGCTAACTTCTCTGAATCTGCATATCTTCTCCTCCTTTTAGCCACCTGGGCCACGTCGCTCCCAGCAAGGTCAGAGGAAAGAGCCCAGGAAAATCATCAGCAGCATGTCCCTCAGCGACGACGTGCAGCTCAACAAGGCTGAGAAGGCCTGGAAGCCCACAGCGAAGAAGAGCACTCGAAGCCGCGGCGCAGAGGAAGTCGACGAGGAGGATCCCGAACAAGCCAAGACTCAGGAGTTGTTCAAGCGTCTGCGCAGTATCCTCAACAAGCTGACCCCTCAGAAGTTTCAGGAACTGATGAAACAAGTGACAGAGCTGACGATAGACACAGAGGAGAGGCTGAAGGGAGCCATTGACCTCATCTTTGAGAAGGCCATCTCAGAGCCCAACTTCTCTGTGGCCTACGCCAACATGTGCCGCTGCCTTATGGGGGTAAGCTGTGTGATTATTATTATTATTATTATTATTATTTTAATTTTATATTTTTGTGGATCTTATAATTTTCTCCAATGATGGCTTCTGTTTTGTGCCACATGCCTGGGCCGCTGAATATTCATGGTGAAACTGATATGTCAAGTTTTTAAAGGTATACTATGCAGGATTTTCCTGAAAACAACATTACAATACAATATAATTTATAGACTCACACAAAAGCTGTCCCTCTCAATCATCACATATGACCCACTAGAAGTGTGTGACTCAATTCATATCTGCAGAGACCCTGGCCTCTGCCCGTTTTCTTCCTATTTTGCTGTGTTTGGGCGTTTCGTGCACCGCAGGGGGCTGACATGGACCCTGAATTCTACTATGAATTAAACCGCATGTGTGTGACCGCAGCTGTCAGCAGACATTCAATGTGGAAATTATGTCACAGTCTTAAGCAGCAGGCATCTAAGAGGAAGCTACGGAAACCAATGACATGTGGCCAGAAAAACGTATTTATAGGGAATGGTAATGAATCTGGGGTTGGTTTTCACTTTTGCTGCCGATACTGTTTACAAACAGACTATTCATGCATAGTATACCTTTAAATCATATAATTAACAGTAGGATGAAAAATGTTTATTCATTAATGTTTTCCTTCTTCAGTTGAAAGTCCCCACCTCAGATAAACCAGGACTTTTTGTGAACTTCCGCAAACTGCTGCTCAACCGCTGCCAGAAAGAGTTTGAGAAGGACCAGGACGATGATGCAATCTTTGAGAAAAAGCAAAAAGAAATGGAGGCTGCCAAAGAGGTAAGAAATGTGATCGTGTAGTGTCACAACCACCACAGGTTGTTTATTTAGTCTAAACTCTTCTTATTATTCCACTACTAAGAACAACTCCCACTTGTATTTGCCCTCAGGGAGAGGAGCGTGAGCGTTTGAGGGTGGAGCTGGAGGAATCCAGAGACCAAGCCCGTCGCCGTTCATTGGGTAACATCAAGTTCATTGGCGAGCTCTTTAAGCTGAAGATGCTGACAGAGGCCATCATGCACGACTGCGTAGTGAAACTACTGAAGAATCATGATGAGGAGTCTCTGGAGTGTCTCTGCAGGCTGCTCTCCACAATAGGCAAAGACCTGGACTTTGAGAAAGCCAAGGTTAGTGAAGCATGAACACACGAACAACCGTCTCCACCTGTCTGGGCCACTTGTTATCCGAGATGGGATTGAGGAACTGTGAAGACTTTTCTCTACATATAAATCAGTCTCACTTTTTCATTTACACTGAGGACGACATTTCGTAGCCGTGACTCATAAAAGCTGCCTTTTCTCTGTGCCCTGTTAGCCTCGTATGGACCAGTATTTCAACCAGATGGACAAGATCATCAAAGAGAGAAAAACCTCATCCAGAATCCGCTTCATGCTACAAGACGTCTTGGACCTTAGAAGGGTAAATATTAATTAATCCATAAGAGGATATTGCAATACAGAGTCGATAACAGGCATTTATAATGTCATGAAGTGTACCTGACTGAGCAGGATTATTTAAATCTGTGTGTGAAGTAATCCACAGGGATTATAAATCTCACAGGAAGCATGAATATAGACATTAAATGAGAGGTGTTGAAACAGGCTGTCTTTTAACCATCTTCTGTCTCTACAGAGTAACTGGGTGCCTCGTAGAGGAGACCAGGGTCCTAAAACAATTGACCAGATCCACAAGGAGGCAGAGATGGAGGAGCACAGGGAACAGATCAAAGTCCAGCAGCAGCTTCTGTCCAAGAAAGAAGGAGGTGGAGGCAGGATGGGAGGGAACATGGGGGGCCGAGGCCCTCACACACCAGGAGGTGGTCGGACTAGCCAGCCTCAAGATGAGGGATGGAACACAGTTCCCATCTCCAAGAACAGACCCATCGACACCACCCGCCTTAGCAAGATCACAAAGGTAATGTCCAAGTCACACACTGAGGTTTTCACTGCATTTATTGTCTAAAATCTAGGACTGCCCTCAACTAAGAATTCTCCTAGTAGACCAATAGTCATCATTTAGGGCCACTAGTCGACTAGTCACCAGCATGTTTACAATATTAATTTAATTATTAAATGATATATTTTGGGTGGGGCAGAACAATGGTTTGAGTTGAAGGTGTGAGAAAGAATAGTATCAGTAACATTGTTAACACTGTGCTACATTACAGAGAAATACAAAACAGTACTAATGAACCTTCATTAATATAGGCCTATATTTTATCTACAAGTGCACGTCACACGCTGAGCGAGCCGCCTGTTAATGACGCTGTGGGCTAATGGGCATGTAGCTACTTCCATGTTTCAGATGATACGTCATGTTTGTAGTCGACCAATGAAGATGAGTTTACATATCACCTTGGGTTCGTCCTTCACCTTCTCAAAATGATCCCACACTTTGGATTTCCTGCCCGACATGTTATTAACTAACCTGTGGAATAACAGCAGGTACCAGCCCTGGAAATTAGGGGCCGTACACATGCTGTGTCTTTAACCGCCTGGAAAACATTGTCCCTTTATGTGCCAGCTTTCAAGAGCGTGGCAGTAGGTTGTGTCTGAGGTTGCTAAGCAACCTTGTCAAGCATGGTAGAGCCTATTTACCTAAATCCTGAGTGCAGAGCTGATCTTCTTCCAGGTGCTGTTTAAGTGTGTAGGCCTATCGTCTGTGGGACAGATGTAAAGCTCTGGGTAGCCCTGCACTAACATGATCAACTTTTCAGTATTTATCAGACTGAACATTTACAGAAGAACAAAAAGATATCTGGTGGCTGTGATTGGTTTGTCACGTGACTCCTGTCTGACTGCTGAGCATGGCCACTTCCTGTGTCTGTCCTTTCAAATTGAATTCCAGTGGTCCAGTCATATAGGTTTTGATTTTTATTTATTTTGACAAGGTGCAGCTCCTAATAGTTTCATGTTTGTTTTTTTCCCCTGTGACTAAGGGACCAATGAAATCTTGCTGACTAAGGGGCAGCCCTACATGTCTGTAAAGGGGGAACATGTTTTTACCCATAGAACCCATTTTTACTCAGATAACTTGAGGTCAAAGATCAAGGCACCCCTTTGAAAATGGTCATGCCAGTTTTTCCCTCGCAAATATTTAGTCTAACTTGGGAATGTTATTTAGCCCCCCTCCTGACAAGCTAGCTTGACATGGTTGGTGAGTGCGCCACAGCATCTTAATGATGATATTGACAGCAGAAATCGCTGGCACTCCATTAGGTCTCAGAGAGTTACAGTCTGAGGTTAAACCTGATGAGTTGGAACTTCTGTGAATGTGTATGTAGCTTGTTTGTTAATGAAACTTTTGTGTTTCCCTTCAGCCTGGTTCTCTGGACTTCAACAACCAGCTGTTGGCTCCAGGAGGAAAAGGCATGTGGGGTAGTTGGGGCAAAGGCAGCAGTGGAGGAACTGGAGCAAAACCAGCAAGCGGAGAGCCAGGTAAGACACCTTCTTAAAAAAAAAGACAGTATGGTTTTAACCTGTTAAGTGGTTGGAGTTTTAATCTGTTGTTTTCCTCGTTTAGATTCTGGTCGTCCAGCTACCAGCACGCTCAACCGCTTCTCAGCCCTGCAGCAGTCTGGTTCGTTGTTGTCAGCACCTGACTCTGATCGCAGAGCTCCTCAGAGGTATTTAGCAGCTACAGATATTTTCTTATCCAGTGAAATGTGTTGTCTTTTTGCTGTGCTTGTATTTTCTTTCTCCCTTCACTGTTTACAACCGTAAAAGGCACTGTAAGAGATATTTAGACATTTCTGTGTGTAAGTGTTCATCCTGATAGTGAGCGGTTTGAGACCAGATTTGATGGCACGACATTGTGATAAATGTGGACCTTTTTTCTCCCTTACAACTTTTAGGTCAAGCTCGAGCCGTGAGCGAGGTGGTGACAGAGACAGGAGTGATCGCGACAGGGATCGGTTCGACCGATTCGATCGCAGCGAGGGACGGGAAGGTCGTGACGATAGGAGCACTCGGAACCAAGTCTCCAAGAGAAGCTTCAGCAGGGAGTCGCAGGAGCGTGGCGGGAGGACCGGAGACCTCCGGGCCGCAACTGAACCTGTGCGTCGTGTGGCCAGCATGACGGACGATAGGGACAGAGGAAGCAGGGACCGAGGAAGTCGGGATAGAGGAAGCAGAGACCGAGGAAGCAGGGACCGAGGAAGCCGAGACAGAGGAAGCCGGGACAGAGCCCCAAGCAAAGATCTCCCAGGTGAAAAACCCACCGAGCAAAAGTGAAGATTTGAAATAGATATAACGGCAGAAAGAAGTCCTGGAGGAAACACTATGATCACACAGAGATTAGAATGATGTTTAACTTGGACTGTCTTTTTTCCTCTGCAGTTAAGCGTGAGAGCGCCCCCACTCCTCCTCCTTCTCTTTCAAAACCTGCCTTGAGTGAAGAGGAGCTGGAGAAGAAGTCGAGCGCCATCATCGAAGAATACCTCCACATTAATGACTTGAAGGTAAAAACATGACACATGAATTTTACTCAATACTGGACCAGTTTCAAAAATTGTTCTTCCTTAGTCACTCCGACAAGAACAGGGGAAAATAGGGTTGAAATATACCAAAGTTATCCTTAAACCAGCAAATGCTTGGAATATGAAACCACTCTGATGGCCAACGTTGTATGTCTTCTTCCTTGGCTGCTGCAGGAGGCATTGCAGTGTGTGACAGAACTCAACAGTGCCTCACTGCTCTATGTGTTTGTGCGGAACGGCGTGGAGTCGACGCTTGAGCGCAGCACCATCGCTAGAGAGCACATGGGCCTGTTGCTGCACCAACTTATAAAGGCAGGGATATTGCCCCCACAGCAGTACTACAAAGGGTGAGTATTTAACAGGAAAACCATCGCACATCCTGTTGTATGAATTTTGTTTTAAGTGAGACTAAGTGCTGTGTGCTTTTTGGGACCGTAGGCTAGAAGAGACCCTGGAGGCTGCGGATGACACGGCCATAGATATACCTCACATCTGGCTCTACCTGGCTGAACTCATTACCCCCGTGCTCCATGAGGGAGGCATCCCTATGGGACAGCTCTTCAGGTGAGCTACACTGCGGACAGTCAGCACAAATAATTAAGTCTAAGCAAGCTTAGTTCCTTTGGATTGAGATCAGTCAGAAACTGATGCCTTTAACCCGTAGCTCTGTCCATAAATAACATCTGATTCTCTTTTCTCAATTTTAATAAATTAAACAAGATTGATCTGTTTTAATTCTTGTGTATTTGTAGTGAGATGTAAAGAAACATTTTTAGGGTGTTGCAGTGAGAATTTACACCTTTGTCAGCATCTCACAAATGTTACAGAAGCGTCTGTCTTTCGTCTCATTCCCCTTTCTTCTCTTTTCCTGTCACACTTTGATACTTACATGTCACCTACAGTGAAGTAGTTTTATTAACAATGGGAACAAAACAACTGCTTGCTGAGGTCAAAAGCATAATTCAGTGTAATTGTGTCCACAGGGAGATCTCTAAGCCTCTCGTGCCTCTTGGGCAGGCTGGTGTGCTGCTCGTACAAATCCTCAAGTTGCTCTGCAAAGAAATGGTAGGTCCTACCATATATAAATTCAAAAAAACATCCACATTACATTACATCCTGTTGTACATTAACAAAATTTAAAAAAATTTTTTGCTGTGTATAGTTTGAGAGTTTAGACTCATTTATTGTTGTTTTTTCTTCCCCATCAGACCACTAAGAAGGTCGGGGCTATGTGGACAGAGGGCGGGCTGAACTGGTCTGATTTCTTGCCCGAGGATGAAGACGTCAACAAGTTTGTCACTGATAAGGTCTGTAGGCTACAGAAGTGCAAGACAAGTTAAACATGAACAATTAGAACAACCAGTCAGACTGTGTTGGAAACCTGAGGGTGAATCAGGCTGTATAGAACTATTTTATTTTACCGTCTAGTTTTGGTGAAGGCACGTGGAAATAACAGAAGGATTATAAGCTCTTTGTTTTGAGTATATGTGATATATAAATGAAGATATTTAATTGCTGCAAATTATTAAGCGAACCGTATGCATAGCAAGTGCACCAACTGCGCTTGCCCGAATCTTTTGTTCCACGCTCCTGTCCAGTCCAAAACACTGCGGTCAAGCCAGCTGCAGCTGCTGCACTGCAGTGACGTTGGCTTTATGTTGGATATTGGGCAGAGATTCACTCTGGGCCCAGCAGCCACTTCTTAGTTTCACCTTTACCAAACGTTGGCAGTAGGAGGACGGTAAGGTCACCTCCCAGCCCTCCTGTTTCATGCCGGGGGGCTGATAGGGACCGTCAGTTGTACTATGAATAGAACCCTGTGCACGTCCGCATGACCGCAGCTGTTCGAGGACGTTCAATGCAGGAAGTATTTCCGAGCCTTCAGGAAACTGTGGCTGCCAAAGGGTGGGGAGATTGTTGTTGACCAATAAAAAAACAAAGAATTTAAAGCAGACACCTTAACGAGTTCATCACTTACATGAGTATCAATTTTCTTTGTTATGTAATTTAGAAAGTGGAGTTCACCTTAGGGGAGGAGATGGAGTCAAAGGAGGTCAGCAAGAAAAAGGTCCTCACTGGAGAGGAGCTCAGCAAACAGCTGGACAGACTCCTCCAGGACAAGGCCAACAACCAGCGCATCATCGACTGGGTTGAAGTGAGTTAAACGTCCCGGCGATGTAGCTCATATTGTATATAATAATCCATGCAGGGATTTTGTTATTTAATATTAAAGAAACATGAGTAATTTATGATTCCCCCCGTTCAGCTGTTATTTCCCCTTTCTGTCTTTTTCAGGCTAACTTGGACGAGCAGCAAGCTGCTTCCAACCAGTTTGTACGAGCATTGATGACATCAGTGTGTCAGTCTGCCATCATATGTAAGTATGACTAATGCAGCATGTAGAAATAAGGGCTGTCACTTTATGGCTAAAATTATCACAAAAATATCACAGCATATAATTCATTTTTGAGCTCTGGGAAGTAAAAAATGTTCGTGGCACACATAAATGATGATATGTCATGGTTTGTCTGAACAAGTGTTTGTCTCTCCTTGTTTCAGGTGACAACCCGTACAGGGTGGATGCACGGCAGATCAGTCAGAGGGCCAGTTTGCTGCAGAAATACCTGTCTGATGAGCAGAAAGAGCTGCAGGCCCTCTACGCCCTCCAGGCTCTGATGGTGCACATGGAGCAGCCAGCAAGTGAGTATTTATTTACCTGTGGAGTGCCAGCAGTAACGTGTCAGGGTTAAACGGACAGAGGTGGATAAAATAACAAATGCCTTACCCAACAGTAGCCTGGTATTAAATACAAAAGCTGTTGGAGCTCAAACCTTTCAGGTTTTGACTGTTACTGATGTTGATTAAAATACAAATATGGCAATTATTGAGACCGCAGTTTGAGATGGTGTTAGAAATGTTAATTTAATTAATTACATGAATGGCAGACAATCATAGCGTAGCATCAGCCAGCTCTCACGCAGGGTCCGATAACTCTACGGCTGTACTCCATAGACTCAGGCAGCTGTGTCCATTTTTCTTCATTTTCAGGCTGGTTTTGTCGATTTCAAGCTAGTCATGGTTAGACGTTGTAACTGGGGGCGTGAAATAATGATACCCATTGCCCAGAAAGGTTGGAGGGAGATATACATTAAATGTTAAACATTAATGTTACAAACTTTACGTACTAAACGTAACACTACACCTGTCACAGATGACACTAAACAGTGGTGATTATAGTGGTAATTTATTTGTGCCTGAAATCTGACATACTCCCCACTGTAAACTAAACTACCAGTGTTTATGCTGATGCGTGTATTTGGTTCTGATTGGTTAGTGGGAAAGTGACATCAGAAAGAGGAAAAACATGTTTTTAAATTTAAGCACCTTCTTGTGGACGTGATCTTCAACAGATTGTCCTGAGGTCTCCCTGAATGCTGACACGTGGTGCTAATTGGTATTAATGAAAGGGAATTTTATGATAACCTTATGTCAGACACAGGACACGTGTATTAGCATAAATTACTTAACACTTTTTGATAATGATGATAATTTTATTTCTAAAGTGCTTTTCAAAACGGTTACATAGCACTTTACATATCAGTAATTAAAACAGTCGACATAAAAACAACAACTTTTAAAAGAATGATAAAAACACAAGTGCAAAAAAAAACCCTGAGGAAATAAAAGACAGTTTAAATGAACTTGAAACTCAAGAAAAATCAGGAAAGGCTCTCCAATAAAAGTAGGTTTTAAGAAAGGACTTAAAAGAGATCACTGACTCAGCCGACCTGATTTCCTGGGGCAGACTGTTCCAGACCTCAAAAGTACATCCTGGCGTAAAGAGGCTAAAACTGGAGTGATGTCATCACGTCTCATGGCAGCTGAATTCTGAACAGTCTGGAGTCGATTAATAGATTTTTGATTCAGGCAAGAAAAGAGGCTGCTGCAGTGATCCAGATGTGAAGAGATGAAGGCGTGTAAAATTGTCTCAGTGTCTTTAAAAGTTAAAAATGGATCATATTTTTGAAATATTTCTAAGATGATGAAACATGATTGCAAAAGCTTTGTGACGTGCTGCTCACAACTTAAATTACTGACGAGCCAGACTCCAGGATGTCTTGCAGCGGGTTTGATATTATCCCATGGGACCAGCCGAAGGCAGAATTTGTTGTGTAATGTGCTGGGGCCCAATGACAGCAATCTCTGTTTTGTCTGAGTTTAGCTGAAGGAAATTTTTTGACATCCGGCTTTTAACATCAGTAAGGTAGTCATTAAGTGAACACATCATTCCAGGGTCTGTAGCTTTAACAGGCAGGTACATCTGTGTGTCATCAGATGTTTAAAAACCGTACAAACGACAACCTCAAAAATTATGTTTTATTAATTAACATTAACTAAACAGTGTGAGCGCATATATTAATGCAGGGCTGTATTGTAGAGCTCCTTTCTTTTCTCCTCCTCTGTAGAAAACCTTTATTTTTTTCATCACCAGATCAGTATTAACTTCTGTATCTTGACTCTGCAGATCTGCTGCGCATGTTCTTCGACGCCTTGTACGACGAGGACGTTATTAAAGAGGAGGCCTTCTACAAATGGGAATCCAGCAAAGACCCTGCGGAGCAAACAGGCAAAGGGGTGGCCTTAAAATCAGTCACCGCCTTCTTCACCTGGCTCCGCGAGGCCGAGGAGGAGTCTGACAAGGAATAAAAGACTGGACTGAAAGCTGCCGCCCCCCTTTGGCAAGACGGGGGCTCTGCAGGCGGCTGCAGAGAGTCATGGACAATATTGCCAGAGAGGCAGACTCGAATCAATCCTCAATGAGGATAAATCTTTATTATTTTCTTCTTTTCTTTGAGGGATGGACTCAGAAAACAATCATTTCTCTCTCCCCTCCCTCTCTCGCTTCCTCATTATTTCCCCACCTGCTTGTCACAGCAAGTGTCCTCATCAAATAAACTTGAAAACTGATTCAGCAGGATTGCTTGTTGACGAGGTGTGAAGTATCCCACATCACTACGAAACTCTTTTTCTCACAATACAAACCAACAGGCTGCTTTTTTACTGTTCTAGATTATTATGATGCCTAACATCCCATCAGATCTGCAAGAACGAACAGCAGGGCGTGTGGTGAAGTGGGTTCCCTGATTCGTGGGTGTCGTCATGCCATAATGTGTGTTCAACCCAAACTCAGCTCTTATGTCTTTGTCCCTTACTGGAGTGTGCAGCATGACTGAAGTGTGTTTCTATTAATGATACAGTGGACGTCAATAGACAGATGTACATGGACTAATCTTAATTTGATGGATGGAGTTTTTAAAACAAAGGTTGTCTATTTTCTCTTCCTGTTTCCCATCATGAACTTATAGAGGGCCGAAACAAGGAGGACTAGTGTTGACCTTTGACCTTGACTACTAGGGGATGGTCTTAATGCTTCCTCTAAGCCATCCTCTCCCATCCCCAGTAGTGAACCACACTGACTGACTCTGCATCCTTACCTCTTCTATACTTAAACCTGAGCTGTCGTAGAGGACACTTAATGACCCAATCACCGTTAAAACTTGAAATCTACAGAAAATTGACTTGATGGAAAATATATAAAGTTTAAAAAAAAAAAAACACACACACACACACAGAAATGATCCGAAAGCCTTTTCTACTTTAAGTGGAAACTTATTTCAGGAGCGTTCTGTAAATATATAATAACGATAATTAAAAAAAAACTTCTTTTTTTCAGTTTTATTTTTCAGAAATGATAAATTGCTGATGTTAATTGCAGTGTATCCTTTTCCAACAGAAAAAGCAGTTGTCCAGATGCAGAGAGGTGCTTTAGATAATCCATTGATTATTAGTTGTATTGGAATTTTGTAAATATTTTTTTTTTGCTTTCTTTATTTAAGAAATTATTGCTTCTTTTGCATCGGAAACTGGAAAGATGAGGTAACGGAACATTGCAAATAAAGGACTTATTAAGTTGCCGAGCAGAGTTTGTGTGAAACATGTCGGCTGCTCCAGTGATTTTAGTGTGTGTGTGTGTGTGTGTGTGTGTGTGTGTGTGTGTGGGGTCATATCGACGCTCCAAACTGACCTTGTTAAAGATATACTGAGCAGGATTTTCCTAAAATAACGATGTATAGACTTGAAAGAAATTCCTCAGTCATCACTTGTGACCCACAAGAAGTGTGTTTCTTTGCAGAGCCTCTGCACTATGCTCGTATATTCTTATTCTCCTCTTATTGTCTGTTCAGGACATTTATAGGCGCATATCCTCACAACGCTCAAGTGAGGTTGGAACTTTTTTAAAAAGGTAGTGACCAGGGGTCTTTCTAAAACAGTGCCTAGGATTGATATTAAAAAATGCACGTACGAGCAAAAGCCAAAAATGGTGTGCGCCAAAACATATTCAACAATTTCTGAAATCAGGATTCCACCTTACCATCTGTGTCGCCAAATTCCTGTCTCAAAAATGTCTCCAAAGCCGCAACTTTTCCAGAGGAGGTCGTGTACGCCTCTGTCAGGCCCCGATTTGTGCGTACGCAATCTTTATAAATGAGACCCCAGGTGCCGGACCATAAGCAGCAGGCATCCAAGAGACACAACACTCAAGTATAGTGAGGTGAAAGACCAAACGAGAGTAAATCTGGGGTTGGCTTTTACTGTCACTTGCACTGGCAAACATGCTGATAAACGGTAACCAGCTATCCTGCATAGTACCACATATACCTTTTAAGGGGACTGGGTATCAGCCATGGTGTCACCATGACAACTGTGGCTCTCAGGTAGAGCGGGTCGTCCACTAATTGGAAGATCAGCAGTCCGCATGTCGAGGTATCCTTGAGCAAGATCCTGAACCCCAAATTGCTCTCGATGGCTGCTCCATTGGTGTGTGAGTGTGTTAAAACTGAGTAGCAGGTGGCACCTTGTGTGGTAGCCTCGGCCACCAGTGTGTGAATGGGTGTGAATGGGTGAATGTGACTCGTAGTGCTATACAAGTGCAGTCCGTTCATTCTACATTAAACAGTCAAGGTCATAGAAATTCAACGTGTCTGACATCAGTTTAATTCATTCATCATCATTCATCAGTCACAGCGGCCGGCGACTCGACTCACTCCCAGGTGTCATGTTACCTTTACATTAAAATGATTCCAATTAGTTACATGCAGGGAAGTGGAGATTTATAATTTGAGCATGGGAGAGGACAAAGTTAAATTGGTGCCTCTGTGTATCGTGTCTGGATTGACCCACTAGGTCACCTTGGGGATAAATGGGCTGCAGAAACACCACTGACCCAGTTCTTTCCTGCCATGACTGAATGTACTCAGTCACCTTCAAGCAGCCACAATATACAGCGCACACATGTGTATATACCAGTACATATAGTCAGGGAAAATGTTTATCACAAGGTCCCGGAATCCAAAATGGTGACTTCCAAAAGGAGTCCAAAAGATACTCACTTCAGAAAATGAGCATATCGAACTAGAGAGGTCTCCAACATTCAGGCTTGATAAATTACTTAAATATTGAAATACTGTTTCGATTAATCCGCTCATCATTTCAGCATTAATAAAGAGACAGTTCACCCCAAAAACAAAAATACATATTTTTCCTCTTACCTGTGGAGCTAATTATCTGTCCAAGAAGTGGTGAACTTCCTGAGTGTGATGACGACGAGGGCGAGGAGGACAGACGCTCCCAGGAAGACAGCTGTAACAGTGGCTGTGATGGCCCCAGCACCCCTGCACACACACACACACACACACACATACACAGAATATTAATCATTTAAATACATAGGATTGACACAGTCATGGTGTATATAGAGTCAGTTTTACCTTCCTCCTCGTCCAGGGCTTGAGAGTGTGTGGTGTCCTCGTAGCCGAAAGTGAAGGACTGCTCTGTCATGTCCTAGAAATGGCTTGGGTGGTGACATCATTGGGTGGCTCTCCGTACATGGTGTCCTGGTTGTCTCTGATTGTTGAGTCTGCGACTGTCTCTGCAGACCAGAAAGAAAAATAATACCATTTGCTATTCAGGTTATTACACACTTGCTATTACAAACATGCTGCATTTCTGCCATTACATTCCAATTTTCTGTAATTATATTAATTTGTTTTTCTTTAACAGACCCCATAGTTTTTTACTTTGCATTTTCTTATTTCTTTGGGGCAATAATAACAAGCTCATGTCCTCTATCAGAGGCCAGGGAGTTTGAGGTATCTGCGCAGTATCTTAGCTGCTCCCAGGACTGCACTCTTCTGGACAGAGACCTCAGATGTACCTGAAATCTGCTGGAGCCACTCTCCCAGTTTGGGGGTCACAGCCTCGAGTCTTACACCCTGCTGTCTCAGGAGCATCTTTGCACAGCCTGCACCTGGGGTCCTGTCTGCTGTGGTGTGGTAGACCCCTGCTCCTATTGATCTTGTGCTAAGTGTCTGTTCCTGTGCTGCCATGATAAGAGCTTCTGTGCTGTCTTTCAGTCCAGCCTCTTCCAGCCACTGCTAGGATGTCTTGATGACGGCCACTTCTTTAATCTGTCGGTGGTACATGCTGCGCAGGGGTTTGTTCTTCCATGGTTCATCATCCTCTTCTGCTGCCTGAGGTATTCACTTAGCAGCTCATCTTTGGGGGCCATCTTCATGATGTATTCCTGGATCTTGGTTGTTTCATCGGGGTACCCCCAAAGGTGAATATAGGGGTGAAAAAAGAACTGGTTATCAAACCTTCGATCAAAATTTCCCAGGTCCCAATCTGCTCAAGGATTCTTGTGATGTGCCAGTACCCCAGATGTACCCCTAATCCAAGGTGGGGCCTCCTTGGATCGGACTTGGCTCTGACCTGTCGAGGCATGGACACAGGATCTCTGGGAGTGTCCTGTGGTGTCTGGCACCAGTGCGTTGGTGGCAGATCCATTTAGTCCAGTGGGTTGTGAGGTGGGTTAATGGCACATGCCACAGATGCTCATTCAGATTAGGATCTGGGGAATTTGGAGGCCAGGTTGACACTTTGAGGTCTTTGTCACATTCCTTGGGCCATTCCTGAGCCATGTTTGCAGTGTGGCATGGTGCATTATCCTGCTGGGGGGCCACTGCCATTGGGGAGTGCTGTTGCCATGAGGGGGGTACTTGGTCTGCAACGGTGTTTGAGTGGGTGGAACATGTCAGGTGGTATCCACATGAATGGTTTCTCAGCAGAACAATGCATTGGAACAAAATAATCAAAGTTATTCACTTCACCTGAATGCATGTCTTTGGTTTTATTTATTTATTTTTAATAAGTCCCATGTTGCGGGTTATATCAGACAAATACGGTCAGATTAGCTTGACTGCAGTCTTTTTTTTATTATAACAAAATTATGTTTGGATCTTCCAGCTTTTCCCTGATATCACACTGCAGTACATTTCACACATGAACCGCATGTCCACCCTGCATGTTCAGTGTGTTTACCAAATGACTGCGGGTGTGTGCAGTAAAGTACATTTTAAAACAAAGACAAAATGAGCTGCAGTGGTTTCCGGGGCCAAAGCTGCAGGTTACTGTATCCTGATCTTGGCTGCACCGGGAGGAGGAGGAGGAGGAGAGGGAGGAAGGGGGGGAGATGGGATGTGACACCGCCTTGCGTTGATGACGCTTGCCATCGGGAGACATTTGGACAGCCTATGTAACCCATATACCGAGCAACAAATGGTGCGTCTGTGCTGGAGACCTGATGCTGGAGTTAGGAAGATGTTTCCGCCGACTGAGTGGCATTAATGATCCACTGCAGAGCTGCTGCAGGGGCACACACCGCGCGCTATCATCTGTTGATCGGATTGGAGACAATTAAGCGCATTATCATGAGCCGCCGCGGTCCGACTTACAGGTAGGTACCGAGAGAGACGGGGATCATTACAGGCGCACGAGCATCGTTAGAGCCGTGAAGGTGCATAGAAAGGGCAGGCAGCTCTTGGCATGTTTATCCGATGCAGGTATGGAGCTATTGGTATGCAGATGGAGACTTCAGAGGTTGCCAGGATACCCTGCTGCTGCATCCGCGCCTCTCGTGCGTTATTTTCCCCGTAATTGCAGGCTACAGGCCTGCACCCATCAATGGCGGGGTGATGTTATTCAGCCGTCAGCGTGTCGCTTCTGTTGCTTGAATTTCCACAGAGAGAGAGAGAGAAAAATAACAAGCCATCACATGAGCACTGCAGCTCCCTCCATTCATTCATGCCAGATAGGCCTACAAGGTGTTTGGCTCAGACTGGCTGAACTCGATCCCACTTGTTGGTCCTGTAAGTCACATCACAGGCTGTGTGGATGTCACACCATCATCCTGTTGGACGTGTTCAGTCGTGTTCGTGTCAAAAAGGCACACAGCAGTCTGCCTCTGCGGGGAGTCGACTCAATAATCCAAACACCTCGTGAAAAAAACGGGACTTTAGGCAACTTGATCACAAACAGCTCCACGTGTTATCAGAGTGGGTGAAGGCCAATTAGCAGCATTTGTCAGCTGGCGATCAGCATGTTGAAGAGGGAGTTTTTAAAAGCAACATTACACAATTAACTGCTCCAGAGGGGCCAAATCATGTGCAGGTGCACGGATTCAAAAAAGAAAGAAGAGGCAAATATCAAAGGGAACAATCTCAGAGCATCCAACTAGTGATTATTTTCATTATTGATTCATCTGTCAGTGATTTCTCTATAAATTATTTAGTCTATACAGGCTGCAAATGTCCTTTTTTTTGTTCAATCAACAGTCAAAACCACAAAGATGTTCAGTTTACAGCGACAGATGACAAAAATCAGACCTTTGAGAAGCTGTGAATCAATGACAAGGGCTGCAATTAGGTTTAATTGTCAATTAATCTGTCCATTACCTCCTCAATTAATGCAGCAGCCTGCGTTTTAACAAAAACTAAAAGGTCTGACCACATCATTCCTATTTTATCTTCTCTTTACTGGCTCCCAGTAAAACAAAAATGATTTTAAAGTACTTCTAATTGTTTTTAAATGCTTTAATGGTTTAGCTCCTTCTTATGTAAACTACCACCATTATGAGTTCACAGCAGAGAGATCCAATAGATCATCTAATAAAGGTCGACTCATTGTACCTGAAATCAAATCTTAGGAATTAATAATATTATTATTATTATTATTATTATTTTCCTTTTTTAAGAATAATGATAATAATACCTTCTTATTTTGTTTTCATCATGTCCTGCTCGTTTTTATATGTGTAACACTTTATTATGTTACATGATATTTTATGTTTGTCATGTATGATGTATCTTAAAAGCACATTGAGTTCACGCTTGTCGTATTAAATGTGCTATATAAATAAAGTTGACTTAATTAATTAGTTGTTCAGTCTATAAAATGGGTGAAAATGTGGATCAGTCCCAAGATGACGTCCTCGAATGTCTGAAAATTTTTCAGATAATCAGATAATTTTGACTTTATTTCTTTACACAAGTCATTCAAACTGATAAATCAATTATTAGGTTATTAATTTAACAGCTGACAACTCTTTTAATGACTTAAACCAGTTATCAAAATCGCGGTTGATTAAATTTTCATCTGTCGACTTATCAATTGACTAATCTTTCCAGCACTATAACAGATTACTGCATCAACAGATGAACAGAGAAGTTTAAACCAGATGAGAGGATGTGACCTACATACTGTTCACAGCCCTGGTTACCAACCTAAGGGTCGGGACCCCTGCACGAGGTCACCAGATAAATCTGAGTGGTCACAGGATGATTAATCGAATAGCAGAGAGGAAAAATATTGTCATGCTGCATATCTTTATATAATTTTCCCACTTCTCTTGAATGTTTGCTTGTTGGGATGACCTCTAGCTCACCTGGTGGAGCATCCTTCACATATAGGCTGAGCGAGCGGGGTCAAGTTTGACCTGTGACCCTTTGCTGTACGTCATACCCTCTCTTCTCTCTCCAGCTGCTCCTTCATAAAGGCAAGAAACCCCCCAAAATTATTCCCCCAACCTTGTCTGGTCACTTAAATGATCTAAATAAAAACATGTAACCTGTGACATGCGATATTAGTCTGCTTTTACAGGACATGATGTAAAAAATGTTGCAGAAGGAACCATTATAGAGTGAGTGAGTGGCATATGACCTCATTATAACCCACAACAATTCAAAGTAAAAGCAGATTTCCTTTAAGTCTCCTTTTGTCGATGTGATTTTGAGCGGTGCTGAAATCTGTGTGTCTGGGTCTCAGGAGGGGAGCCGCACAGAGCTCCACATGCTGAACATGTGGTGTGTTTATCAGCGCTGAGCATGAGTGACGTCCGCGGTGCTCACAGGTGTGTGTTTGCAGCAGAAGTTTGCCTCCGAGGAGCGTTGAGGAGCTGTAAGAGCTGTTTGCACCTTTCATATCACTGCCTGCCAGCTCCCTACCTGCCTGTGTGCCTCTGACACACATTTCCTGTCATTTCTGACTTTCACGTAAGCCTCTAACCACAGCCTCTTCTTTCTTAGCTGCTTTTGGAGCCGATCTGCTTAAGGGTATCTGTCAAGTCATGCACGTGCTCAGTGCACAGTGTTTGGGCAACATGTTTACTGCTTGACTCACCTGCCCTAAAAACAAGACATACTCCGCGCAGATTTAGGTGACACACCAGATCCACTGGGCGCAGCCATATGTGTGTTTGTTTTAGACGTGTAATAAAGTTGGGTAGCAATATCACTGTTAATAGAGATCAGCAGCTTTGGGGTGAGCAGGCCTGGCTGGAGCTGCTTACTGGAGTTAGGGTTAGTCACATGCCATATGTTTGCCCCCGACGCATGGTTACCACTGCCCTCAGCTGCCTCACCTCCCTCAATCCCAACCATTCTAACCGGTTTCACCGGCTTACCCTGGCTTTAGCATCTGTGCAGTAAATGTAGGGCATAGTTGTTTGCTTGTCTGCCCCATGGTTTAAACCAGTAAACCCAAGCTGTGACTTTTAGTTGTGTTGGTTTGCTGCGCTGTGACACCATCTCTGCATGTCCACGATGAGGCTGAGGTCCAGGAGTAGAGAAAGGAGGGAGAGACAAAGAGATGAAGAGGTAGGAAAAAGTCTGTTTATTAAAAAGCAGTATGGATCTCTGTTTGGGATGAAGCATTTATTTTGGCATGGAGGCCACAGCTCGCGTGTTTATCCTGTGATTCATATTTGATTTTCAGCTTTTCATTGAGATGCTATTAGAATGTTTTTCACAGCGTAAATATTGGCAAAGTAAACATTTACTGCTTTGTGGAAATAGCTGACTAGTGCTGGATGTGATGCACAGATCTGGACTAAACTGAGCTTATTTGCTGCTTTCGTGCATGTGGTGCAAAACGAGGAGTTTCACTGAAATCTGATGTGTCTTGCAGGTGAAATTTGAGGAGAGTGAAATGATTCCGAAGTCAGGAAAATCTCCGGCAGACTCGAGGAAAAGTGTCGGCATCCAAGAGTTTGCAGCACTGGCCAGATCCTCCTTAAATGGTAATAACTTTCTTTGTGTGTTTTTACTTGATGATTACCAAATGAGTTAGAGCTTCAGACTCTGACTTCTGCTGCTCTGTGTGCAGGTATCTCTCAGGCAGTGAGGGACCATGTGACGAAGCCCACCTCCCTGGCTCAGGGCCGGGTCGCTCACCTCATTGAGTGGAAAGGTTGGCCCAAACCTGCAGACCCACCTCCAACTGCACACTTCAGCTCCTACTGCCGTCTGACCGAGGGAGAGAAGGAGGCCCGGTTTGCTGCAGGTAGGGATGGGACAATATACGATTTAATCTTGACTGATAAAAGAAAAAATAACATTAAGTTGCTCTTGGTGAATTTTAACTATCGGAATAACTGTGAATATCATGTCCAACAGCACCTAAAGAGACTCTGCAAAAACAGGCTGCAAGAGATCTTAATCAACCATCGGCATGTGTCGCATTGCAAGATACAATGCAATTTCAAATAGTTGCAAAACCTGACTTTTTAAGATTTTTTTCCCTGCAAAAAAGTAAAAAACATGTGTCCTGTGATGCAAGAAAAATATTTGTTTCTCAACAAAATAAAAAGTAATTCTAGTATGTTTGATATGGAAGAAAATAAATGACTTAAGTACTTGAATTTTTACAGGCAGTGAATACTTAATGAATACATTTTAAAAACACAACACAAATTAAACAGCAACATACAAGATACCCAGAAAAGGGATTAAGCAATCAAGCCTGAACATTTTGACCCATCAAATTTTAATAGTGTTATATTTTTAACTAAATTTGACCGATTCAATTTGAGCAAATTGACTCTATTTTTTTAACTGTGAAACTTTCATTTTTATTTTTTTTAATCTGAATATGTGAATTGTTGTTTTTTTTTAATTTAAAAATTCAAATAGGAACAAATAAATTCAGATACATGGCTTTCAGAGTAAAATATTTCAATGCTATAAATTCAGTGGCTTTTGAAATTTAAATACTTGTCTCTCTTATTTGTTTCCATAGTTTTAGAGAGATTTAAGCACATGTTGATGATTATCAGGATAATATCGTAAATTACAGTTACTTGAAACAGGATAATCGTGACATGACATTTTCGTATCATCCCATGCCTACAGCTGCGGGTGTTGATTTCTGTGACCTTTAGCCAAGGAGAAGTTTTGTATCCAGCTTTTGCTGCCTAACTAGCTGGTGTCTGTTTGAGTGTGCACGTGCATCCTCTTACTTATCCCGGGTTTAGCTCCAGCATCATCTCCTGGCAGGCTTCCACCTTCTGTCATGCACCTAATCCCCTAAAACTCCTGTATGTCAGCGGTCCGTTCCGCCCACCGCGCTGTCTCTTGGGTGACGGCTTGTCTTGGCAGCAGATGGTGGCCTATTAGACACTCTCCCACAACACTTCACTGCCCACCAATGGTACAACAGCTCCTGTTGTTTGGCTGTGACTCATCCTCTCTGGCGCCAGTGACATCGACGTGGTTTGATCAAGAGAGAGAATGTTGAGGGGGGGGGGGGGGGTACGTAGTGATTGTACATCATGTACATCATAAAGCCTTTTTTCCTCACACTTTGATCCATGCTCTGATATAAGGACACTTTATTCCTGCTCTGTTCATTTCAAAAAAGCTTCTGACAAGAGCCGAAACAATGGATTAATGAGCTGAATCACCTTTCAAGCAACAATGCAAAACATTTCCTGATACCAGATGTGAATATTTTGGGGCTTTCTTTGCTCTCTATCATTACAAACTGAATATTTTTGCACTTTGGACTGTTGGTCAGACAAAGTGAGCTATCTGAAGATGTGACCTTGGGCTCTGGGAAACTGTGATTGGCGTTTATTGTTACGATTTTCTGATATTTTAAAGACATCCAAGGGAGGTTTTGTTACAATAATGGTGGGGACACATATGAAAACAGGGAGCTTCAGGGTCCTCCATCGAAACACTTAAATTCTTTCATTCTTGAAATTTTTTGTGCACCAATATGTGCATTTTCATCAGTTTATGGTGTGAATGTAAAAATCCTCTAATAAATAAATAAATTAAAGTCATTTTAATAAAAAAATGCACATTCTAAATATTGAGGGTTGCGTATCCCCTGCGTCCTCCCCCGAATCTATGCCCATATAGACTGTGAGAGCCACATTGTGTGAATATAAGTTCACCAATCCGATACCAGGTAATTTATTAAAGTTGATAATGTCATATACAAGATTAAAACTCTGTATTTACTATTTTTAAGAAGATCTCCATAACACTATGGTCTAGAAACTTACTTAAAATGGGTCCTGTATTTTTTATGTAGTCTCTTGATTAGGAAATGGGTCAATAATATACAGCTGTTATTTATTTATTTATTTATTTTATCACAATAGCATTGGATCGGTACATGGTATTGGCTGATACACAAGTTCAGGTATTAGAGTCGGTTTGGAAGGGAAAAAATGGTATTAGAACACCCCTAAAAACAAAAGGGAAAAATCAGCATTTGGTTTAACTGATCACAGGTTTCCTTTTAAGGGTCACAAACCACAAATAAAAAAGAAACTGTGAAAATCACTGCATTAATTTGTGTCCCCGCTAGGTGTGGCTGAGCAATTTGCCATAGCTGAGGCTAAACTGCGAGCCTGGGCGTCCATAGATGACGATGAGGAGGAAGACTCCAACGATGAGGACTCCCACACCAACGAACAAACCATCTCCAGCCAGAGCGCAGGTATCCACAGTCGCCACCATTTTGTCCATTTCATCACCCATCATGTTCATTTCTGCGTCCTCACTGACAAAACCTCATCTTCATCTTCATCCTCATCCCCTTCCCCATCCCCTCCCTCAATTATCCATCCATCTCCAGGTGTTCTGACTTTTTGCTCCTCCCTCAGACGAAGTCACATCCAATCCTACCAGCGGAGTGCCGTGCCAGCCTGAAGTTGAAGCTGGCGAGGCTCCGCCCTCCAACAGCCCCCTTGGCTCCAGCAGCGGCAGCCTGTTCTGTGGCAGGCCTGCGTCTCACAATGACCCACATTCATCCCAGACCAATTCACCTACTTTACCCAGCGACTGCATGAGTCCCTTCCTGGAGGAGGAGGAAGAGGAGGAGGAGGAGGAGGAGGAGGAGGAGGAAGAGGAGGAGAGGCTAGATGGCCAGGAGCAGCAGCCAGCTCTTTTGCAGGAGCAGAGCAGTGAGGTCTGCATCCACCACAAGCCTGAGTGGAGGCCTCGGGCCAGGAGCAGCAGGTTCGACTCCTGCTACTCCACCTCTCACTCTGAGTCCCCTGGAGAGGAGGACGAGGAGGACGAGGAGGAGGAAGGCAGCGTGTTTCATGAGTTTCGAATGTGGCATTCCAGCCGGAGGAGCTTCTTCTCAGACCGGGCCTCCTCTGGAGTGGCGTCCTTCGATGAAGAGGAGGAGAGGGATGAGGTAGAGGAGAAGAAAGAGTATTTGATGTGATGTGTTGTCCATCTTTATGTCTCTTTGAGTCCGTGTTGATTCTGGATATGACATAATCTATTCTGCTTTCACCGTTAAAGGGACAGTTCACCCCAAGATCAAAAATACATGTTGTTCCTCTCGCCTGTGGAGCTGTTTATCAAATCAGATTGTTGACTTTCTAGACTGATTAACAGCACTACAGGTTAGAGGGGAAAAATATGTTTCTGATTTAAGGGTGAACTGTCCCTTTAAGTTCTCTCCACCTCCTCCTCTTCCTCGGATCATGTCTCCTCCACTCGCTGCCTTCTGTCTGTCATCCTCCAGGCCTTCCATGTACTGATCTCGCTCCGTTTATCGCTGCTGTAAACAGTATATATATATATATTGATTGGAGAGTTCAACCAGAATGTAAAGCTGTTGTTCAAACTGAGTTTTGTACATTTTTGTGAAGAGTCATGTGTTGCATTGGTTTTCTATGGATATTTTGTAGTGTCGTTTCCTCTGGGTCATGCAGTGTCATGTGGGTCGGGCTATGTTTGATACTGAATGTCTGAATGTCCTGCATATATATAAATGACTTTTTTTGAAAGAAGTGTGTGGTGTCTTTTTTTCCCCTCACAAACACAAACATGCGAAGAAGACACACAACTTCTCTTTGAAAGGTGTTTTTTAATTTAATCATTCACTCATGTACAAAAACAATTTCATGTCCTCTGAAAAATAACGATGGCTGTTGGATTTCAAATGCATAATTCTCCTATGTACAATAGCGTGTACGTAGATCTCATCCGTGTATGTTCATATGTACAAAGCATATACAGGCCAGTGCCATATAAAGGGAGATACTACAGACTTATTGCTTAACTAGATACGCTGCAAATTAGCTTATACACTCTCTACATTTAACTCCTTATGCGTTATGTTATATGGCGAGCACTATTTCACATTCTATATGCAAACGAAAGGTTAAGACGTTAATAAATCGTTGCACAAATGTTTACGCAGACAAAACATGAGTTGGTGCTGCGATGACGTCACATAAAATTGAAACATGGCTCAAAAATTGCATGAAGCTAAAAATACATCAATTTGAGGGTCGTAACGAGGACTCGCGCACTTTTGCTCTACAACAGTTTGTGGGTTATCACTGTGCTTAGTTACATTTCTTGACATTGCATTTGGAGGCCAGGCTGGATTAAATGTACTCTGTTGTAAAGATACGTGGAACATATCACGGTGTTAATATCTACAGGCCGCATACACGTGTGCGTATAAGTGTGGGTGTGTTTGTGTGCTCTGTACAACAGCCGGTATCTTTCGCTCGGAGCTCAAGTGTTGTTCCTTTAATCATGCTAGAAACACGTTAAACACGCAATTAAATTCACGTAGCAGAAGATGTAGAGGCAGCTCAAGTGACAGGACTGACAGTTGCCCTCACTGAATCAGCTCCTCTGAAGCCAAACGAGGCTACATGTGCAGGAAATTATACTCATGGTAATTACAATGTGCTTCACCAGTATTCGGAGCCCTGTATTAAGCTTGGTGGACCTTTGGAACTGAAGCTGCCTTTGAACAGTAGATCCCAGTCGATCTGGGGACTTCGGGGGCTGATATGACACCAACAGCTGCTAGTAAAATAAAGAAATAAAAATAAGATATGTGTTGTGAACACTGGAGTCAAACTAATGATGTCACTGTTGCTATTAAACCACCTTCGACAGCATTATTACTGTAAATTTATTGCATATAAGCCAACACATAACCAACACCTCTATATCTTAAAATTATTAGCCATGAATTCTGGACCTCTAGTATAAGTCCAGTGCTAATAAATAGGTAGTAGTCTGAAATCATACCATCATGTGCTCATTGGAATAATATTCTTTGTTCTTCTGTGCTTTCTTCTCCATTATTTGCTCCTTATATTGTTCCCTCTACATTATTTGCATGTGACTTTTTTCACTCCTTGTAATGGAACTAGGGCTGAGTATCAGTTCTCAGTACCTTCAAGTTATCAGCCGAAATAACCCAGTACCAAGTAGTACTGACGAGTCTCCCGTCAAACGATACCTGCATTAGATCCTTTTGTGCCGGGTGTCTGATCCTACTCTGTCCCAACTCCACAACTCATCAGCAAACTTTCTGTTGCTGCCATCTCCGGACATGCTCTCCTTTGGCAAACAGTCAATTTAACGTCTGCCCAGTTAGCACGGGGTAACACAGTGACAGGGAGCCATCAAATGGTCCCAACAAACTTACACTGACACCCAAAGGGCTCGATAAACACATTAATAACCGTTAAGGCCCCAATCACACAGATATATTTTGCAGGTAAAAAAAGGCTTGCTGCACTTTTTTATTGTTGCCAGGCAACCACACCAACACGTCCTTACACTAACCTTCCCATGTAATCAATTTACCGTTTTTTCCCACAGTAATTAGTATCTAGTTCCTAAAATGTTCAGGGAGAGGGAACCTGCTGTATCTGTGTGGGTACACAGCAGCTACAACACATACAGTCTGCATTTCGGTGAAGTCTAGTGCGGCAGAGTTTGCAGTCCAGCGTGCCGAGATGCCACCAAAACGTTCCAAATTATGGCCATAATACACGCCACACCGTTTACATTATGGGGATCAAAAGAAGGACTCTTCTTGTATTAGTATCACTTTCAGGGATCTGGTTTGGGTACTGGTACTGTAATATTTTCAAATGATACTCAGCCCTAAATGTAACTGAAGTCATGTTGACAGGATGTTATTTTGGCACAAAGACTCAAATTATGTTTAAGAGTCTGAACCAAATCTGAGCATGGCAAGGAAAGTGTCAAAAAGTCTCTCTCTCTCTCACACACACACACACACACACACACACACACACACACACTTTAAAAGATACAGCTGGTAATGTTTTATATTTTTCTTATTGTCAACAAATCCAAACTAGTCTTTGTATTTGGGTCCACTAAACACCTTCGGTAAGGTATGTTTGGAACCAAAATTAACCCTTCAGACATGGTACGTAGACCCTAGGTCTGTTTAGCGTTTCCACTGCAAACAGTACCCTTAAATGTGGGCGGGGTTGTTGTCACTCACTGCTCCGTCCAGCATTCACTGTATTTCCTCTTAACCGGTGACGCAGATGGAAGTCTGCACCTCGTTTATCATCCATAGAAAACAGTTGCACGCCGACATTTTAGAACAGGCCGCAGTGAGAGTCTCTCTCTATGGGATATTTAAAAACAGCAGGTTTGTGCATTTAGTCCTTCTCAGGCAAACTCAGGGGTTTAGTGTGCCGGAGCCCACATGAATATGGCTCTGCAATGCTTTTTTTCAAAACTCTGAGTGAGGATTGGAATATATGTCGTCCCTGTCGAAATTCATATACAGTCAGGTCCATAATTATTTGGACAATGATACAGTTGTCATCATTTTGGCTCTGTACATCACCACAATGGGTTTTAAATGAAACAATAAATACGTGCTTAAAGTGCAGACTCTCAGCTTTCATTTAAGGCTTTTTTCAAAAATATAAAATGAACCGTGTAAGAATAACAACCATTTCTTCACACAGTCCCCCGACTTTAAGGGCTCATAAGTATTTGGACAAACTAACATAATCATCAATTAAACAGTCAGTTTTAATACTTGGTTGCAAATCCTTTACAGTCAATGACTGCCTGAAGTGTTGGACACATAGACATCA